GGTTTTTTACCCACAGAACTGACTCACATGGTGTCCACGGTCGCGCTAGGTCGCCCCAACGAATAGGTCACCGAATACCCCACGAAGGCCACCAGTGAAATGACCTGCGGAAGATCCACCAGTGGTCTACCAGCAAAAATGTGGTGAATTTCTGGTTGGTGGTTAAGCCTAGCCCTCTGAAAAATGATGGACTTCGTCAGTTGGGATGATGAACTTCCCAACTGAATGGAAAAATCATCCAATTGTTCCAAAGTTATGGGGACTCAATGAGACTTAATGGGGATTTAATGGAATATACGTACAACTCACCAAAGAGACAGTACAGGATACAACTAAGCAATAACATGATATTTGGGTTTTGCCCAAAATGGCTAACACGTGCTAACACCACCAGCTACAACAATTGTTATGCAGAATGAAAGGGGAAATAATCACCAAAAGTTTGGGAGGGAAGAACATGTATTACATGTATATTATGTATATATATATATTCAATATATTCACAAGTTAGCTTGTTAACTCCTTCTCCTACTGATTAACACCCGAGACACCCCCAGCCGGTGGATCATGCTGAATCTATTTGAGAAAACGGGATGCTGTTCGAGGATGAGATCCACCAAACGGAACCGATACATGGGGGCCTAGAATGATTTTTGAAAATTTGGCATCGTTTGATTAAACACACTGAAATGAACATATCTGTGGCATTCTGTCAATAGTCTCCTCATGGGGTGGGTTGCACTATTCAACTATTCAAATCCAAGGAGAGTTTGAGGCGTCCCACTTCTTGGTTCATGCCATGCCACCTACTGTAGGTGGTGCAGCTGAGTTTTTTTTTGCGCCGAATTTCAGTCCAAGCCCCGAAAAAAGCTGAGATGTAAACCCTAAGTAAACCCTATAACAAGTATGGCTAGCGGCCACCAAGTCATTTTTAGAAATTGCTGGTGAGTTCTCGGCTGGCGCCATGGCGCCGCGCCTCAATGGGCCCGACAGTCCATGCCATGATGACCACCTGGGCGGTTCGAAAAGTTGGAATCTTGGAAACATGAGGTAAATATTAATACATCATGTGTAATTATATATGTGGAAATAAAATTAGATATGGCAGATATTCTGGAAACACATGGAAACACTTTCGGTCTCTTTTGGGGGACCCCTATCATGGTAACCTTTCCAATCGTTCGGGCAACATCTTTTGGCTTTTCCTGGCTCCAAACTTCTCGCTCCACGGGATTCAGGCATTGTTATGCTGAGACTCACCAGGGCTGAGAGTGGGAATTTAAAACCTACAAAAACTGACCAACTGATAGCCCTGAAAAACTTGATGCAACTTCATGCAACTTGATGCCATTCCATAGTCCTCCAAAAAAACGGTTCAAAGTTGTCACTTCTGCAGGTTTGGTTGCCATTTTTGCTGGTGAAGCCCCACATTTTGCTGCTTAAATCCCAAGGTTTTCTCGGTGAAATCCCCACCCTGGATGAATAAATCCCGAACGGCTGTTGAATTGGGGGGGTGCCATTTAAGTACCAGATTCTGACGATATTATGACTATTATTGGGACAGTACCCCCAAATTTCTGATAAACCATGGTTTATCATGAAATCAGCTATAAATCAGCTATAAATCCCATTAAACTACCATTAAAATTAAACCACCCATTTTTGTTGTTTAACTCACCAGGGTTTCGTCTCCGTGGTGGACGGATTTCATCGCCCTTCTTCAGTCACCACAGGCGTTTCAGCTCCTGGCCATGAAAAAGGCCAGGCTGGTGACCACACCAATGACCAGCAGCAACGCCAGGAGCGGATCCTTGGATTTTTCGTTGTTAGTGGATATGCTGTGATGGTGATGGTGGTGATGATGGTGAGTGTGATGGTGGTGATGGTGATGGTGGTGATGGTGATGATGGTGATGGTGGTGATGATGATCATAAAGACGTAAGCAAATGTATCTAGTGTCTCTTTTCGCCACGCCACAATGAGATCTCTTGCAGGGCTGACCACCCTCTGCCGTCAAGGAGCCAAAGTGAAGATCAGCATGCAGCCGAAGCCACCCCTTGGGGAGCCATGGAGGGGCTTACTATCTGGTAATTCAAACATGGCTAGTTGGGTTCTAGTGGAAAAGTGGGGGGAAAAAAGTGAAAATGGATATATATATATAAATAAACGAGGATGTTCAACTCACTTTGTCTGATTTGGATGTTGCCCAAATTGAGATGTCAAAATAACACAACATCTAAAACCCCCCAGTTTTCAATGTGACTCTACAAGAATCGAACATAGTGGGAAAACCTGGATCAATATATTAGACCTGGGTATACCCTCATTCACAGTTTGATGTTCACAGTTTGATGTTCAATGAGGATTGACATACCCTCTGGTAAACTAACATAGCTATTGAAAATTGCCATTTATAGTGGATTTACCCATTAAAAATGGTGATTTTCCATAGCTATGTTAGTCATTACCAGAGGGTAGCTGGGATCGTATCTCCCTTGATGGGCCATGGGTCCAAACTTTGTCCAAGCCTTGGTGGCACCCATCCCCTAAGTCCCGCCCCAAGGCGTTAAGCAATGGACAGGGCAGCAACCACTATGGTGAGAATCGTGCTGTTGATGATGGCCACTTCTGCCTCCGGAAATCAGAGCTGGACATCTATGGTCTTGTCTCACAAACGGAGATGCTCTCATTTTGTGGCCATCAAAAATGTTGGAAAAATGACCATAAACGGATTCTGGGGGTCCGAATTTTGGAGTCACCCCCACCTAGTCCTACGATTCTTGCGTTGAAAGTGGTGGGGGGACCATAACTCAGCCGTTCACGTTGCCGCGCCTCTGCTTGTACCCATGCCTCATCACCATGATGGTTTTTTCAGCTAGAAAGTGTGGCAGTGTCAATTTGGTTACCCTCTGCTAATCTAACATGGCAAGAGAAAATCATCCATTCACTTCGATGCCTCTCCTATTTCAATGCCAGAAGTTCGATCATTTCCCAGCTGCTATCCCTCAGAGAACATCCTTTTCAGTGGTAACACCAGTATCCTGATGCATAAATAGTCATAAAATATTCCCAATTTTATTCCCAACTGTTGGATTTTTATCAGGATACTGGGAATAAAATCTATTTATGGATAAAAAACCCAGCTGTTTGCCGCTTCAGTCTCAATTTTTTGGTGCTTAAATCCCCATTCCGCTGGCGAAATCTCCCCACCTGCGCAGTGTGCCATGCCATATTCCCAGTGGAGGAGGCCTCGGCGATGTCCAAAAAATCATGGGGATGGCACCCTCCGGTGGACATCAATGGTGTTAAATAATGGGATTTAACGTGAATTAACCATATAATAGTGGGATTTAAGCCTATCATAATGTTGATAATCCTTGAATCCTTTAGTTTTATGGGATTTGACCATAAACAATCGAATCGAGATTATGAGAGGAATTTCCTGGGGACGAAACATGTCATCAAACGTGGCGATCGCTGGGAAATCCTCTATAAATGGCAAATTGTCCATTGCCACGTTTGATTACTGGAGGGTATAGCTTTTGAACCTGCAGGTAATGAGCACCAAAAACAATGGTGGTAGTAGTAAATTGGTGATAACTGGGGTAAGGCATAAACTAATTAGATGTAATTAAAGTCTACAGTGGTTTACATTCGATAAAAGGGCAATACGAAGCAAAAAAGAACAATGTGCTGCACCATGTGCTTTGCTTTATGTAACGCATACATACAGTATTGCATACATGACATGACACGACATCATATCACATCACAGTACAGTACATAATATATCGTCATATGTTGACATGTTGGTTGCAGTCACCAGTCAGGCGCTCCTGGAGCGACAAGCGCATCGTCCAGGGAAGTGGGTTGAAGGGAAAATCTGAACCGGAAACCCATGGGTGTTTCCCACCAAATATGAGGTAAAACCTGTCCGACCTGTCCCTTAAACCAATCCAATGAACCCCAAAGTTCTCCCAAGATTTCTGATTGGTAAAAAAAAACTAGGATTGGTAGTACCCCACTTTCTTACACAAACCTTTTGGAATAAATGAATATAAAAGGCACAGATCCATTATACAGTACACAACCCAAAATGGATGGTGGCGCCCCATGGTTGAGCAATGCCCAATTAATTGGAGGCATCCCAGCTTTAATTGGAGAAATCCACACTTCTGTAGAAATCCCAAAAAAATAGAAGACGTGACTTGCCACAATTTTAGTAGCATCTGTCTTTTCTATCTTTCAAGGGTTGCCATACTTACATGGTTAATTATGAAGAATAGCTTGGCTAGCAAGTCCAATGGCCCGGGCCTTAGCGTTGAGACCATCCACAAAGGTGTCCCACTTCTCCTGCCGAAGATCGAAGAGTTGGCGCTAAGTCGCACAGTGATTTGAGAAGAAACCTGTTACCCTGGGGTAGACATACAAAAAGATGTGGCCATCCCATGGTTTCCCTGGGAAAATGATCTAGAAATGGTTGGTTTTCCACAAAAAAATGTTGGTTTACAGAAGGGTAAACGAGTTTTGTTGTCTTGGAAATCACTTCTGAAACTTGTTGTTTAAAATGGTGAGAAGACAAAGGTGAAATTCTGTGAACATGTTGAAATCCTGGTTTACATGCACATCTGGTCGCTGCCCACAAAAATATGGAAGAACATCTTTGGATATTACCCACAAATGATTGGAAAGTCTAATCCACAACATACATGCCTCATTAGGGCGACATGTGGTATATGATATATGTAAGATCATCCCACTGCTACTGAATAATCCTGGGGAGTAAGTCCAGTTGGTGTTTTCATGTGTACGCATATGTATAGTTATATATATACATATTGATATAGGTATAGATCATAGATACTGGATTATTAGATTTTTTTTGATTATAGATTATAGGTATTAGATATAGATATTGGTATGGAGTATACAGTAATACATATAGATTCAGATAGATTCAGGTTAAGTCACCATTGGAATCCTCATGGCTTGGTTTGAAGTCAACCTTTAAGCATCGCCTTGAAGCTCAAGATGTTCTCCGCCCCGGCTTCGTAGGAGAAGTCCACTTGGAAACTCAAGGAAACGGCCGCCACAGAGTCACTGACCTTCGAGGCGTAGGGGGGAAAAAAACATCCACTTGATACCATTTGAGATTCGTTATATCCATGAGTATCCATTGAAATATCCATTAGTATCCATTGAATTACTGGAATTATGAATTACTATACTAGTGGATACCATTGGATAATATCCATTAGTATCCATGGAATCCTTCCAGAAATTATATCATGATATACTTGCTGGTGCTAAACGCAAGGAATTGTCGGGAATGATCCACTCGCTAACTATCAATAATTATCCCAGCAACCCCCAGCAACCCATCCATTCCCTACGAAGCACCAGTAAGAAGATGGGCTATGGCAAATAACTCATGGGGTTTTCATAAGACGATTTTTCAGATGACTTAAGATGATTTAACTAACATGATTTAACCAACATTAACAGGTTAACTTAACATATTAAGATGACTTAACATGATTTAACTCATTTAACATGTTTTCTTAAGATGATTTCAAGATGATGTGAGATGTGTTAACCTGATTTAAGCAACATGAAAAAGGGAATGGGTCAATACCTGGGGAACGACCAAAGTTGGTCATAGTATCAGGGTGTGCAAACCCCCATGCTCAAAGTTAACCCAAAAAAATGAATGGTCAAATGATAAATATTATCGATTACCATATTTATTCATTATTACCATATTTATCATATTTTTTGGGTAAAAAAAAACAAATTGGCTCCAAAATATGTTTATGATCTCAGTAATTTCGTGGATCCATGACCATATTTTTGGGCCATTCCGGCCCCATTTTTCTTGGGAGTAACTGAGGCTCCTCCGAACCTATATAACTTCTAGCAACCCCCAAACAAATGGTTTCCTGTTTCAACAATTGAAATTATGATAGTATGAATCATCTGCAACACACTGTTGCTATCTTTTTGCGACCCCCACAGCATAGTACTGTCAGTACTATCCTGCACATCCCCTCCCAATTGCCGCTGAACTCCAGGTTACGATCCAGAGTTGCTCCTGCATCGGCAGGCTGGTCAGTGAGTAGTAGGTCACCTGACTCGTGGCTGTCGGGGAACGGTTCCAAAAAATCTCCCAGCGAATAGAAATTTCTGGGCTATGGGCTGATATGGGATGTGAACCATCTGAAATTGAACGAATGTTCTACAGAATCAATGGAAAATAGTAGGAAAACATATCATTTGGGATCATTTGGGGGTGTCTGAAAATGGAGATACCCCGCATTTAAAACCGTTTTTTGATGGAGAAGATGACTTTCCAAGCCTGGCCTTAATTTAGGGCCCTAGTTTTGGATAAGAGAAAAAATAGGAACTGCGGATGATTCTTGCGATTGAATCGGACAAGTGTGGCACCGGTATAAGTATCACCAATGGGGAGTCCATCATCGGAAATAAGGAAGTATCTGTCAAAGGTGGGGGCCGAGCTTCAACCATCCAAAATTGTATTGATCCCATCAAGGAAACAGACTATACTGGCAAGATCAGAGAGAAATACAAAGAACAATATTTCCGGTGTCATCACACCCTTTTTTGCTGGAACATCTCCCAGCCACAATTGCATGGTTTTCCCAGCCATGTTTTCTTGCGATTTGACCAGAGAAAAATTCCCCGAGAGTGACCTCGTTGTAGAAATTCCTCGATGGAAAGCGCCTCGAATCGATCCTGGACAGTTTTTTTTTGGCACTGGGGGCACCTTCCTGAAATCATAATCATTAAAACCAATCATCAACTTTTCATGATAATTAAAGATTGTAATTAATGGGAAATCCCATTCACTTAAAGTTTATAGATTGAATCCTATAGAACTTTATAGATGATCTTTGCATTCAACCTCCTGTTCTTTGTCGGAGTTCTCAGCAATAGCAACCCGGACCTCAATCTGCTCCGCAGGTCTTGGATGAAGCAGCCTCCGGCAGTCGAGTCATCAACCATGATATCTATGATCCGCAAATCAAAATCTGTATTATATGATATGTTATATAGATATATCTTATATATTATAATCTATATGTTTTATATATATATATACGGTATAATATATATATGTAATGAAATTTCCCTGCTCTTCCCATCTGGAGAAAATGTCCGGCGCTGAGCTGCACACGTCTACGAAAGATCAGCAACTCTGCAGGAGGCTCGTCCTGTGGATATTCCCAAGTGGAGGACCAGGAAATGACGACTAAACTCTACAGATCTATACTGGTTGGTGGGTTGAGCCAATAGATCAGTTGGATGCACACCCCCCCTACTTGGAGGATCATCCAATCGGAAGTGGTGAACGGAACTCTGGCTAGTAAATCCCCGATTCGTGGATTATCCAATTTATAACTGGTTGGTGGTTGAGCCACCCCTCTGAAAAATATGAGTCAGTTGGGGTTACTATTCCCAACTGAATGGAAAAATAATCCAAATGTTCCAAAGCACCAACCAGCTACAGATCTATACAGTAAGCACTCAGGAATGGATAGAAAAGTTGGAAACCTGGAAAATGTGAGGCACATATCATCGATACATATTCGAACTACCATCCTGGTAGTTGGTTGTTCCATCTTTTTGGGGGGTTAATGACAATAACTGGAGCCATAGGCCCTATTGTCATTGTCTATCTCTGGATCCACATGTTTGCATAGATGGTACTTGACCCCCCAACTGATTCCCAAATCACTTCCTCAAAGAGTACTGTACTTGGATCCGTTGGGATATATAGAATCAAAAACCAAAGAATGTGTGTGTGTGTGTCAAATGCACCCTCATGGAGGGTAAAGACACATGTTTCTTCAGCCAGAACTGGATTTCAAAATGCTTCACCCCAGGGTCCACAACTACCAAACCACAGGAGAGAACGCGCCCCAGCCTGTATCCAGCTATCCAGGATCCGAAAAGCTTCTGTATAGCTCCAAACTGACACCCGATGATTTATACAAACTTGCTTGAAGGTTACAAAACTCTTATGCTACTCAGCTACTTTTGTGCTTTCACAGTTTCACGTTCCACCTTCTTTTTTCCTGACGACTCTTTAGGCGCGTTCAACATGGCACTGCTGAACGAGACTTTGCCGCAGCTTCGGCCATGGATGCCATGCCAAGGCTTAGGCCCAGCCATACACAGAACGCAAGATTGGCAAGACCAAGTTGCGGCTCTGCATGGTCGGGAAGATACCTGGCACATTTGATGCTGAAAACATCTAAATCAATCTAAATCAAATATCAAGCCCACCATTTCTTCGTCGTTTGTAGGATCAAATCATCAAGTTTGGGGGTTGATAGCTATGACTCATACCATTGAACACCATCTCATACCCAATTTACACTGCTTGGCAAGTACAGAAAAACGCTGTGCTGACGATGTAATTTGATGGACAACCCCAACCCCTGCACACAATCCCACAAAATACCCTAGTTGCGTAAGAGGTTATTAGTCCCGTGCACAAACATTGGCTTAACATAGTTCCAATACGTCATATGATATGGTGTCCTGAGCGACTACCTGGGAAAGCATACCCAGTCGGATTTTTCAGCCAAATATGTACCTACCAAAGCATACTTTGAGATCGTTCATCTTGGGTTCTGCCTCTGACCACGAGCACTGGGATTAACATTCAAAGATTGCACGGTTTCTGCCGCAAAAATTGGTCGATCACCTCACACGTGGTTCACAACCCGGTCGGCAAGTCCACAGACTGCTTTTCTCCCCTTTCAGAAGCAAGATTATTCACCCTTACTTGTGGTTGTCCCCCCGTAATCTAGCATGGCTATGGAAAATGGCTATCTTCATAAATGATGAACCTATTCGAAATGGCGATAGATTGTCCATGGCAAACTGTTAAGTTACAGTTTAAGTACCTCCATCATAGAAACGTATATATTGGTTTAAATTTAAAATATGGATAGGTATGGTTCCATTTTATTCTGTCCGTTTCTATCACCATGGTTACCTGTTGAGATTTCATTTCCGTTGCTTAGAGCCCCCATGTCCTGGGTCCCACCTGCACCTTCCTCCTCAGCATCCCAATCGACCCAGTGGGCCTCCCACGGCCGGGACCCTTGGTGACACAGGAATAACTTTTCTGGGAATCACTACAGATGAGTGGTTCAATGCTCTATGTTTTTTGAGTAATTGACTCCCAACCAATCAGTAAATTTTGGAACTATGCAATTTTTAAAGTAAATCATAGAATGATACGGGTTCGATTAATAGGTTATATGTGGGCCACTTAACTGGGATGTTCCAGGTGTTCCATTCAAGTTCAAAAAAACTGGAGTTACACCTACCACTACTAAGGTTTTCTTAAGGTTAGTGCACCCAATCATTTTTCTTGGGGGGGGCACATCACTGTACTGTACTGGAATGATTCAGCTGGTTATGAGTCAAAATATTCGGGTACCTGTTGGGTCAGCAATTTTACGTCTCATTTTTTTAGCACTGAACTATGCATTTTGGGGTGTTGATAACCCGTAGCCCACTTGAAGTTATGTGGTGTGTCAATGCGTCAAGGGGCCCGAGCGGGACAGAGATCATCCCAGCTCAACTGTGGAAAGGTTGCTTTCCACGGCGACTCGGAACTAGAAAGGAAGGGAAAATTTATCGTGCAACACTAGAGGCACATATTACACATTAATACACATTAATTATAAAGTACCTATAGCTGGGTTCTTTTAGGAATGTTGTCCCTGGGATGACCCCTGAAATTAGAATTTGTTTGGCAAAATTGGTTTGTAGCCCCGTCAAGTTATAATATTTCAAGCTACAGACTTCACTCACCAGCCATGAAACTCTTATTTCATGAGCATACCTCGGCATCATCCCCCGCTACCCCCGCAACTGCCTCCCCGGAATGTTCTATGAATGGCCAGCCCTCCGTGTGGATCTTCCTCCGCGACTGCTGCAGCGTGCCGGGAGTCACACATCTCTCTGGCCTTTGCAAAGGCAATGCCGCGCCCTTGCCGTAGAAGTCCGGCTTCGCAGGAGCATACCTGCAGTGGTCCCCAGCCACACCAGAGGGTTTTAGGGTGCACGCACATAGAAACCCGCAGTGGTTTCTGTGACGTCTTAGTTTTGGATTTCTGATGTTTAGTTGAGTTGAATGTTCCGCAGGCATTTGGATGTTGTTTTTTCATGGTTTTTCCCAATGTTTTTGACATCTGGGATGTCTTGGTTGAATCATGGAACGAAACATCGATAACTTGAACTCTTGGAACAGGTTTTTTGAGAGACCGCAAAACTAATAATCAAGATTTCATGTTAAACAGATTTTTGACTGTTTGCGCGAATGTAACATTGACAAAGTTGAAAATCATGGAACGTTAACATGCCCCACCCCACCCCATCCCCCACCACCCAAACACAAATATGCATAGTGCAAATGCAAGAGAAGATCCCGCAGCGTAGCATGACGTATGTGTGCAAGTACAAGAGCATGACGTATGTGTGCAAGTGCAAGAGCATGACATATGTGTGCAAGTGCAAGAGCATGACGTATGTGTGCAAGTGCAAGAGCATGACGTATGTGTGCAAGTGCAAGAGAAGATCACACAGCGTAGCATCACGTATGTGTGCAAGTGCAAGAGAGGCATTTACAACGTCTAATCTTCATGGAACGTTAACATGCCCCACCCCACCCCAAACACAAATATGCATAGTGCAAGTGCAAGAGATCCCACAGCGTAGCATGACGTATGTGTGCAAGTGCAACAGAAGCATTGACAACGTCTAATCTTCATGGAACGTTAACATGCCCCACGCCACCCCATCCCACGCCACCCCATCCCCCACCACCCAAACACAAATATGCATAGTGCAAGTGCAAGAGAAGATCCCACAACGTAGCATGACGTATGTGTGCAAGTGCAAGAGCATGACGTATGTGTGGAAGTGCAAGAGAAGATCCCACAGGTAGCATGACATATTTTCAAGTTGACATGAATGTTTTTACCCCCACCCCACCCTAACCCCACCCCAAATGACCCAGATGCATATTCTTTTGCTATGCACACCATACAATCCATGTGTGTTCAAGTTGACATGAACGTTATTACCCCCACCCCACCCCAATGACCCATATGCATATTCTATTGCGGGTTTCTACATGCGTGCATGGTTTTAGCTACTCACAACTAGCAGTGCATTTATTGGCGATTGTCAGCAGCACTCAAAGGGCCCAAAAATTGTTTGTTGCGGGTTACGTGCGAAAAGCAATGTCAAGAAATGCAATGTCAAAAAACAGTTGACCTTCTTCACAAAGCTCACGTTTGCTTCAGAAGATTTCAGGTGGGACAACCAATGGCGAATTCTCACTCAAATGGCCCTTGGCCAGCATTCCAAGAAGTGAAGACAACTTCAGGTTACGGTTAAAGTTGGAATCTTCAGGATCTACCCAATTTGAGAGAATCGAGTTTTGACATGTCCCCAAGTTGCTATGAGTCAAAAAGTGTTACGAACAAAACGGCGTACGTAGTTAACCAAAAGTCCATCTGTGTGTCCCAGGGGCAAAAAGATCTTGACCCACAAGCATATCTATAGCCACTAGCCCCATTTTTCTTGCAAAGTTCACTGGCTGTAAAAGGTAAATCCCATCTTCGCCAAGGATAAATTGCACATGTTACTTCGTGATCTTCCATTCATTCCCAAGTACATGCACTGAAGGTCAAGTGCACATGAATTTTCCCTTCTTCCTGTAAACACGCTGGCATCAAACTCCTACATGTACTGGTGACAGCCTCACAACCAAATCATTGCTAATCTTGGATACTCTATGATGCTCTTCAAGAAAATCACTACATCATCCAGATATCATATCCGTGGCTAACAATGAATCCATCCACCAACCATGGCCATCAGCATCCAAGCTGCACGGTCGCATTGCTGCGAGGGCTCCAACCATTGCTGAAGACTTCATCGCCTGAGGGCGATGAACCCCCCGGTAGCTGATGTCGTAAAAACCTGGTGAACCACAGAAAGTCGGATCCCAAAAGTTGGAATTCACCAAAGTTATGTGGATTTCACCAGCAAATCTGGTGTCTGTCAAAAATCAATGCGGATGCACTAGCCCCGATAATACAGGTTCCGACTGGCGACTGGACATATTGATGAACATTCTCTAAATGGCGGCCATCAACAGGAAGAGTTGGCCACTGCTCGACGTCTACACCTCAAAAATTGAGTTTGGTGGGCAACAAATGCAGGTCCAATAAATGAACCGTTGGTGGATGGCGATTGAACACTCCTGGTTGCATAATCTTCCAGACAATCTCAGCCAAGTTGCTCCACTGGTCACGAGCCAAAAGCACCTCTCCCAGATTTGCGATGCACAGCAAGCAACGTCCAGAACGATACACCCAGGATCCTGGGGGGCTAGGCATCTGGGCAATCGAACATGGCATCGGAAAACTCATTATCTACAGGGGAGTTACCGGTTGAAAGTGGCGGCTTCAAGTTGTGATCAGGTGCGACCAACGGTCCATCAAATGATTTTTCAGAACTTCTTAAAGGCCCAAAGCCTACCAATGAGTTTTGTTTGACTTACCATGTTCATCGACTTTTTTCTCACTAGTCCGATTAAGCAGTGTTCAAAACCCGGAACGTCGTCCCTTTTTTTCGAAGGATGTCCATGGAGCCATGAGGTCGAAAAAGTACTGTTGCAGTGATAGAAAATTTAGACCATCTTGGAACAGTCATCTATAAGATACCCAGTCATCTATAAGTGGTTGGTGGTTTTAACCATCTTGCAAGATATTAGTCAATAGGAAGGATTATCCCATATATTATGGAAAAGAAAATATGTTCCAAACCACCAACCAGTATAAGATACCCATACCCAAAGTTTGTGCCTGATTTCGACCCCCATAGATATCCTGTAAGCCTTCTGGAAAAAAAACCTTTTCGCAGATGATTCGTTGATTCGAAATGTGGATTCCCCATTGCCTGATTGATCAACCAAGGGGTATTTTCGCCGAAGTTAGATGTGCATCACAATGTGGAAATATTAAGTGCCATAATTATAACTTCTGTTGCCTGTTGCCAATTATTTCAATATGTATATAATATAGGTATGTTGGATCATCCCAGTTGCAGTTCGCGAAGTAAAACTTTTTAATGTGTCATCCATCGCCTATTTTCAGACACGCTGGGGAGATCCCATATGTCTATATCGCATAACTTGGTTTTTAATGTTTAATCATGGTAATCAACAAATTACATACGTATCAATGGTTATCATGGTTATCATGGTTTTAATTTTTAATCATGGTTATCAATTTTTAATCAACAAAGTAGAGTTAAAATTCTTGCAATTTTCGGGACCTCCAAGAAAAGATACGTCTTTCGCAAAAGATATTCTTATCCAGTCAGTTACAATTCCAGGGAAGCAACCTCCCATATAACACCCTTAATACGTTCGGTACAGTTTTACAATTACTTAGGTAGTAGTTACTCCAGCTGTAACTAGGTTTCAACCATTATTGCTGTTGCAATATGTGGATGCACACTTGCATTAAGTGTCAACCGGGGGATATAAGAAGACTCATCCCGCCTGTAGGGCTACGCTACACCCAATTTCAAAAGCCACAGCTTTAAGATGGTGATTGCCATCCGTCATTTGGATATTTATGGAATATGTATTTTGTATATATATACTCACATAGTTGTATACTACATATGTATATATATATACACAGTATACTGTATAATTGTATATATATATGTAATAATATATATATATGTAATAATATATATATGTGTGTGTGTACAACGACTTTAACGATATACAACACTTCGTTTTCCTCATGGCTATTATAGAAAATCCTCTCCAGTTCACCATTTTCGACCTGGGATCTCTCCAATCGACCATGGCCCTTGCCCCCACCGCCCCCCACCTTCGATGCACTCGCTCCTCTCCTCGCTCAGTGCATCTCCTACTGCCATCTCCCAGGGATAACCCACCGTCTCCTGCTGATCCGGAGAAACAACGGCTGGCTAAAGAGGTAAAATGTGAAGAGATGTCTCCTCCTTGCGACTTTTTCGTTAACCACCAAAATGGCGGGTGTTCCATCCATGAATCGGGATTAAACCAGGAAAATTCGCAGGTGAAATCTGGGTAGTCAAAATCGGGTACCAAATCCCTACATCCCGTATGTCAAGATGCACAGAAATATGTTCCAAAAATACGTTCCAAAAAAGGAATCTGAGAGCATCAAAACCAGAGAATGCTGATTCAATCCACATCCACAAAAACAAATGATAATTCATGATGATTCAAACATGTCAAAATTGCAGGCGATGTAAGAGCACAATCAAGAGTAATTGGGTTACGACCATAGCCAGTGAACAAATAAAGACTCCAGAGAAGGTAAACCGTTTGGATTTTTGTGGATTGATTCTGCACAACGCCTAAAACCTATTACTCCATAATCCCATGTGCATCTATATTTACGTGATGCAAAAGATCGTCTCTTGGTTTTCCCTCTCGATTCTGCCACATGAATCCCTATCTTTGTTGATTCATATTCTGGAATATCCCTTTGATACGCTTATATTATAACCTTAGTTAGCACGACCAAAACGCAGAATGCAAAACGTACGTTCTGGAACGCGCGTTCCGAACGCAGGGGGGTTTTTGTGGTTTTATGGATCCCAGAAGCCTCCCAATCCTTTTTTTTGCTCCTTGCAAAAAGGATCCGCTGTGTCACATTGATTTTTTCAACAATGTTTCAAAGTCTTCTTAGACCTCTGTTATTAGCACTACGAAAAAAAATGTGAGAGGTCAGAATCTTTTCCTTTCAGGGAAAAAAAGGATCCGGGAAGGAAAGCTAACTTGCCCCACAAGCCTGGTGAGGCCAGAACCTTTTTTGCTTCACCCGAAAAAGGATCCGGAGTTGGGAAGATCAACTTTCTGGTGGCTTCATACACCATTTTGAGCCCATAAGAGCTCTCAAAATCCTTTTTTATTTGGGAGGAAAAAGGTTTCAGTGTCCAGGCCCAGGAAATAAGTTAACTTTATATCATTGGAAAAAAAAGGATTCACTCAGAACGCGCGTTCTGGAACGCGAGTTTTTAAAACGCGCGTTCCGAACGCCCAACTGTACCGAACGAACATGCTATATAACTGTCCATCAATGTCATCAATATTTCACGCACCATGATCCCATGGTTTCTCACATTTAAAACCACCAAACCGTTCCAGTCACTCCCTGGACCGCTCCTCGTTCCACTCCCGTCGTGCCGTGCACCAGAGCCCGGAGTCTTTGCCCGTTGCAATGCTTCCCCCAGGAACCTCGACGGCCAGACCCACGAGATGGCATGCGCGCCAATCTTTAGGATTACAATTGAGGGGGTCCCTTGAATTTAAAAACCAAAGGATTCAAAAAAGTAAAAAAAAAAAAAAAGCGTGGTAGTGTCTCTTGGGGCGGCCAAATGTTTGGCTGAATGAATTTGATCTGAAATATCCTGATACTGATACCTCGCATAAAAACAAAGTTACTTGGTTTCATCAGAACGGCTTAATTGTCACCCGTGAGCCATCATCAGCCCAGAATTCGCCGGGTTTACCTGGTTGATTGGGTCATCCTTTCATACTGGTCAAAGATTTGTTGACCAACTGATTTCGTCCCAGGTCATCAGCATGTTAAGAAACCCTTGAAACAACAGACCAGTAGTACTGATTGACCTATTCATTCCACTTCAACCCCCATCATTCATCACGTTGGTGAAACCCATGGAAAAGCCAGCATTCCGCAGACATAATTTAGCACATGCCCCTTTCTGTATGGATCGTTTGGACCAGCGGCACTCCAACCGGTAAAGTGCCCTCCAGCTGTTGGGTCTCGCCAGAACTTCAGCACCTGGTCCAGGAAGCGGCACCAGCGACACAGCACAACATGATAGGCTGGTTGATGGTTGAGGCTCCCATCCCAAACATGTTCCTCAACTGCGACTGAAAACATTTCAAACTATCAAGCAGTCAAATAGCTACGTAGATCAACCGATTGCTGCATCATTGATGTTGCGGTTTGTTTGCTTGGCAGGTGAGCCAACCTAGTACTTGGATAGCCAATGGGGTTGTAACACACCTATAGATGGAATAGCCCCAGTTGGGGCTGATCCTCCAAGTGTGCTGTCTTCAGATGCAGTTGTCAAGATTCAGCAAGAAAAAAGCAATCAAGTTGTTCACAGAAATGCACCCAGCACCAAGAAGCAACGACCTGTGAGATGTCAAGGGTCCAAACAAAAGGCATCTGGACAGGAGGCTACTAGAACCTGCCACGATTGTGTTATAAAATTTCTAGGCATGATCCCTGAAGTTAATGACTCGAACAAGGGTGTATTCTCTATATATGTTTCTCCAAAGTTTTAGCCCGCCAAGATCAGTGACAATCGATAGACTGCCCTTAACTCTGAACCCTGGACCCGATGGTGGTGGCCTTCGCCTTTCCTCGAACGAAGTGGAAGACCACAACTGTCACAGACTGCGCTACTGCAGGCCATTGATCCAGGGTGTGCCTTGAGCCAGTGAGCTGTTGTGTCAAACATCCAATGTACGGAGGTTTCCTAAAATGGGATACCCCAACACCATGGGTTTCAATGCTAAAAAGCTCTAATTTTGGATGATTTGGGGTACCCCTATTTTAGGAAACCCCCATATAGCGTGGCACATGCCACAAAATCAAACCGTTTTTGGGTGCGGTCGGAATTAATCTTCAACGGTCCCTTTTTTTGATTTTGCAAAATAAACCGATTTACAGCAGGTTGTTCGTGCCAAACCTGGCTCAACTCCGAAATACTAGAACATGATAGAACACATCAATGCGGGCCATGCTTGTAACCCTTATGCCATACCCCTAAACAGGTGGATTGATAAGTTAAATCAGGTTTCCACCATAGAAACTGGTGTGGGCTATCTGCAGGTACCTTCTATAAAGCTAAGTGGATGCTATCCCACGACTTTGCATCTGCGACACCCAAATTCATCTGATCTTCCACAAGATGTGGCCAATGTTCTTCAAAATCTTGGACTGCCACTTCAAAGAGGAAACCAAGCAATTACCAAATTTATGATTACCTTCGCATCAGCCAACTTGCAAATAATCACCAATGAATTACCCATTGATTCCAGGGTGCACCACCACCCCAGCAGTAGCACAGCTGCAGCCCGGCGGCAGATGCCACACTTGCGGCAGCTGTCGATGAAAGCTTCGCCACAAGCGCCAGCCCCAAGCGCCATAGGGGGACACCGGTGTACGGGGACAGTGGCATCGCTCTACCTGGGGCTGGGCTGGGGTGGGTGCGGAATTCAATGGGCAAGAAAGAAGTTAAGTGGTGTGATAATTGGGAGTTAGATTTCATACCTGCTGAGTTATCAGCTAACTACAATTCTATGGCCTAGGGGATGGTTTTGCAGGGATTACCATACCATCTGATCCCACTGTGGACTCAGGGAGCATTATGTCCATACACCCATGCCAAGTCTGCCCAAGTTGCATGTTTGCAGCTCTTACCTTGGAAGGGCAGGCAACGTGGGGCCCGAGAAGATGGCAAATTGTTCATAAATTGGTTTGTTCAGCCCACGCACCAGTGGGATCTCTTGGGGATTATATAGCAACCCTAAAATAAGGAGGTTGGAAACCGGGAACTATGAGGTAAAGGTACTCTCTGTGGCATCCTTGGAAACAGAATTCAATCATTTGTTGTTCTCTGTACATAAGTTTAGGTGCCCAAGATTTTCAATGGATAAGGAAAGCAGGTGCGCTCATTCACCAACTATCTGTAAAGATAAAGAACACATACCGATCGAGAAGGCTGAAGTTGAAGCTGGCGGTTTGAAATCAATCCCATCAAACTGGGGAAATCATCCTCGTTCCGCATGAAATAATTTCCAACACAAACATACGGGTATTTGTTCCTCTTGTTTCAGGAACAAGAATTCATTCACTGCAGTCCAAGAATCTCACCTACATTAACTACACAGATGACAGGTCCAAATCTCAGACACCCCTTGCCCTCCAGATGATTTTTCCAGGTTTGAAGAGTGGAAACCTCCCCATTCCGAATGGCAAAACCCATCAGAAAAATATTGCTAAACCACTAAGAATAGTTGCTGAAAGCACCACCCTATATTTATTTAGGGTTTGTTCTATCCATATCCATCCCATTCCCAAATCTTCACGGTCCCATGATCAGCTCAGTTTCTCCACCCAAAGCTGCCATCGAGGCGAAAGCCTTCGCGCGGAGGAGCTTCAGCGTGAAAGACATAGATCTGACCGCCGCAATGGAAGCGAAGTCGTTCCAGAGAGGACAACAGGCCCTGTCAGACGCAGATCTGAGCACTGCTGATGGTAACAAAATAAAACAAGAAATTGACGACTAGTGGCTGCCTTGCAACTGGCACGTAACTAGTGAATTTGCTGAGGTATCCCTCTTCTCCACTTTTCAGGACGATCATCCCAGCAACGTCTGGAAAGAATGAATGGCACAAAGGCGACTTTGCCCAATAAGCCTTTGGAAACAAGTTTCGGTTCCTCTCGAACACCCAAACATCCAATGAACTAAACGCGTCCATCCTAAGGCCTGGTGACGCGTATCGGCCGGCAAAATGGCCACCACAGGAGGTTGTAAGTAGCCCAAGATGGGCGGAGACCAGGCGTCGTCCACCACCACTGCACCCCATTGGTGTTCCTTGAGTGGGTTTGTTGTGCCCTAATGATCGTCAGCTAAGAGAACAGACACGCTAACCAAACCATCTCCCTCGTCTCAACGTCCGTCAGAGTCACAACGATGGTCCGGTTTTCACTATGATGCCCTCGCCCAACGCAGCTTAATTAAACCGATGCTTGCTGCACCTATGTGCCACACATGTTGCAGTTTCATGTCACCATTTGGATCAGCGTGTGATGCATGGTGAGCCCCGCATCACTGCAACCAGTCTTGCTGGCCAGCTGCAATGCACTCGGTGCGTTCCTCACCTGTGGTGATCTCCTGACAACACGGAATCACCAGCAGCTTGGACTGATATCACCCACAGCACCATGATGTTCATCGCAAGGTGAAAGCACCAGTGTGAAACATATGTCAACATGGGTACTTTTGTTTGGGATTTCAAGATCTCGGCGTTTCTCCTCGAAACCTCCCAACAGCCCGCGCTGTTTGGCAGCCGACACCGAGAGCAACCATGGCAACGCACTGGCGAAATTTGGCAGCCGCCGCCTGCGAAACCACACTTGGGCATGCCCCAGCCTTGGGAACCTTGATACCTGCTTTCAGCACCAATGAAAATAGAATGAATGTCGTTGGTTCATCATTATTAGTGTTCTAATCACTGGGTTTTAAATCTAATGAGAAAGATCCCCACTTGTTGTTGGTTTCAAACCATCACGATTCCTTGTTATCGCCCACTGGGGTCCTTCATGCGGAACCGAGATGGAAAATTGACGTGTTCGTTTTGGCCGGAAACATGGCAGGCATCCAGTTGCATTGGTTAGTTGATAGGGATTTCCCTAATGGATTGTGATATTGCCCATGATTACCCATTACATTGGCTAGTAAAATCACCTCTGTATAGTCATCAACCGACCGGGGTTTCACACTGTCACCAGGGGTTTTCAACACTGTTCACTTGACATGCCAAGTAGATGATGGAACCGGTGTCACTCCAAGAGGAGCATGCCACTAGATAAAATATCAAAAAAATCAATACGTACTTCATTCTATACGTGCCTATACTTGCGCCACTCGAGTTGCGAAATCGATGCCAGCATAGGTTTGAGCAGTGGTTTGTCTGTATACAATCATTTAAATTTACATATATGCAAATATACGAACTCGCGCGCGTGTGTCAGAATCTGCAACGAGACACGAGTCACTTGATACAAAGTAGACGGCGGCACCGACGTCACTCCAAGAGGAATATGCCAGCAGGTAAAATTATCAAAATAAATGTCAATACATACTTCATTTTATACGGAGATCTATGTCAATACAGGTTTGAGCAGCCGCATGTGTGTGTATACAGCTATTTACATCTTCGCAAACATATATACGAGCGCGAGAATGTCAGAATCGGCAACGACGCACCAGTCGATCAATTCGTGGTTTTACTTGCACATCTATACATTATTCTGTCTGAAGTCAATATGCCAGGTCATATTTCAAGAAACGCTCAGACTAACGGTGCTGCACGCGTCCATACATGTACCATCTTTTCTACTGGTGAGGATACCTTGTTTCTGTTTTTGGTCGCCGAACATCGCCTAACATTTCAAAGTTCTCAATTTCTTTGGCACTTGGCGCTAAGGCCAGTGGATGCGAACGTCCCATGATTTGTTGCAGCGCCTCTTCTTTCCCAATGAAACCAGGGCAAACTCCGTGAGATTCATATCCTCCAAAAACCATCGAATCTCATCCAACCACACCACCAGCACGCTCTCAGAACTCATTGTTGCTTGGCCTGCCGCAAGCTTGAAGCTTCAGAGCCAAACAAACCAAATTGGTTCTGCGAAAGTTGCAGCATCAGTAACAAAAAGCAAAACACCAACTTCAAAAAACTCTGCGATGCCATTCCTCAACACATCCACATCAGACAAGCAAGGTTTCCACCAATGACATGTGACATCATTATATGAGTGGCACTTGGCATCTGTAGTTTCCTAGTTGGCCTGTTGTCCATCTTGTTTCCCGCATTCTTCCTTGCCTGCCACAGACACACACACAACCTATACATCAAAGACCAGACCCAAAACACTTGGTGGCCAAAAACTCCTACACACTGCCTTAGGAGGCATAGGCAAACGGGCGCAGGCAAAACGTCTTCGCAGCAAGGGCTAGGCTGTTGTTGGTGGCAAGTTTGATGAAGTTTGTGTTCTGCGCCTTTTGCGCGCAAACGGCTGGCTATGTCACCAAAAGCACATGACAAGAGAAACACTAAAGAATGCCTCACTCTCAAAAAAGGCAGCCAAACGCTGCGGCAACAACTGCCGAGAGCTGGCTGGAACAGACTCGGATTCAGCATGTGGAGGAGCACAATCGCCAATTTTCTTATCTCAGCGCCTCTTTAGAGCTCGAGCAACGTGGACATTGGCCACACCTGGTGCTGGCAGCGGTGGCTTGGCCACATGTGAGCAGGGCTGTCTGCACAAGACTGTGCAACTGTACATTACTTGGGGGTGCAGTTGGGGTCATGAATGGGTGCAACCACTAACCACCAGAAGTTGGAATATAAGCCCCCTACAACTTTGGTAATATGCAATATTCACTTGCAGCTGGAGCTGGGACTGCACCCCCGACTGGGTTATATGCTTAACCCTTGCCTGTACAAGACTACGGCACGCGCTAGCTACTCTCCGCTTGTTCTTCAAGCAGGCCTGCAGTTCTATTCCATCAACACCTCACCGTCCATCAGCCTGACGGGGAACGCGTTCTGCCACGCATCTTTTGCTAGCTGCATCATTGCAAGGCTTGTCAGTCCAAGATGTACAGTATCTAAGATTATTGTCATGCTATGCTCAACTTTTCTGGTATTGGCAGCCACACGGCGTTCGAGTCATCCCTTAGACCGCTCAACGTTCCACTGCCATCATGCCTTACGCCGGGACAGCATTTGCCCATTGCAACGCTTCCCCAGAAACCTTGCGTGGCGTTGGCAGTGGGACCCGCACAAGATGATCCACTGGTGGCATGCGCTTTACATGGCCACTCTTCAAGGATTGCAATGGGCGTCGCGAAAGCCAAAAGACGTATGTGGTAGTAGCTGGATGGTTTCCAATGTATGGATGGCTCATACGCGTCATACGCTTGAAACCCTGATCTGAGACACCCTGATACAATGAAAAGTGTCTTGTAGCTGCATACGAGATATTCCTTCACGACGATCGTCAAAGGCCGTCGTCCAATAGTAGGAAAAAATTGGCTTAGAACCCTGGTCTTAATTAAGGACGGGATCAATAGTCAATGCAGCTTCGCCTTCGCAGCTGTGAACATCCTTGCACCATGTGGGTGCGTCGGCCTGAGCAGCTGGCTTTGTCCCACAACCGCTCTAATAAGTACTCCCATCCAATTTTCCATCCAAGATCATCAACACGGACAAGAAACAAAAACAATTCAAGCGGCGCCCAGTCTTTAACTGTATTCACCCATGCATCTTCCAATGAATGTTGGCAAAGCCTAACAGATTCCATTCAGATCATTTGCCCCATGCCCTTGTGCCCTTGTCTGTAAAAAAAATACAGATGCGGTGAATTTGGGCTCAGTTTTCAGGGCTGGTGATCGCTTTCTATACGGGGGGATCCTCCAAGTGAATGGCTGTCAATAGCGGCTGTCAAGATTCGGCAAAACAAATGTTGGACAGCGAAGCCCTGCAACAGCAAGTGATGGACAGTGAAAATTTCAGCGGGCCAAAACACAAGCTATCTGTGCAGGATGCTACTGGAACCTGCCAAGAATGTGCTTTGGAATTCCCTTGGCTGAAACCACAGAAAACCGACAGGCGGTCCTACAATCTGTTGCCTCCAACTCCGGCCATTGACCACATCGTGGGCGCAGCTACGCCTTTCGCCCTTCATAGAAGGAAGTGCAAGACTATCTGCCACAGGCCGTGCTTCCGCGGGCCGTTGACAAAGATAAGGTCCGCCTTAGAGGCCACCGGTCTAATAGATGATGTGTTTAGGAGTTTTTGGAAAAGACTAACTTGCATCAGGGTTGTTCGTGCCAATCTCGATTCAAATCCTAAGTAGTGCTTGACATGCAATAAACCCTAACCCTAACTATGCAACCTGGTAAGCCTGATGATAAAACCCTTTTAGCTCTAGGTTTCTCAACCACATGGAATTTGGGCTATTGCTCCAATGAACCCTGCCAGCTAAGGTATAAGCCACCAAAAAGGATGGCCGGCACAAGACACATCACGCGTGCAAGACAACGTCCAATCGCCGCACGCGTGACATCTGCGCCCCGATAGATAAATAATTGCTCTTAGGATCACAGGAGACTTCAACATCTGGTACCTGCGACCTGCCCGGCCTGCTGTTCTCTGCCACAACATCTCATCGTCCATCTGAAGCCATCTGGCAGCGCATGGCCTGGTGCCCTTTTGCTGCATCTCCTGTCAGCACGCAGCTGCACTAAGTGTTTGGAAATAACTACCTTGAACTGTGATAGGCGGCAAGCTATCCCTCTTACTTGAAAAAAAAACACCGGCAAGAGGCCCCAAACAGTGTGGGGGTAGGAAGTCAATGTACCAGATACAAGTAACAGTAGCAGTGGAACAGTAACAGATCAGGTTAGGCATGATCGTAACTACAGCAGCAGGAATTTGTTTTGGCACAAGGAGCAACGCTATGTCTACTCATCAGGACCTGCTACCAGAACCTCATACCAGGACATCTAAGAGAATTTCAAAAGATCGTCAAAGAAGGATCTTCTATATAGAGGATCTTAGAAGATCTTCATACAAGAACTTCCTACGAGCATTCCAGAAGAACTTTCATACAAGCACCACTGCAGATGATCTTCTCACAAGGACCGGTACGAGATCATGCAAGGAGGCCTAGAAGATTTCACTTCACCAGGACTTTTTCGAAGTTTTTTAACGGATATGTAGGATCTGCACAAGATCTTCTCACAAGGACCTGTGCAATATCACGCATTGGAGGGAACTGTTAGAGGATTTCGCCAGGATCTCTACAAGATCTTCTGGCAAGCAATTTTACAAGACCCTGAGCAAGATCTTCATGCCAGGACACCTACAAAATATCAGACAAAATCGTCGGCTGCTGGAGAAGATCTTACAAATCTTGATACAAGAACCTCCCGACAGCCTCCACAAGAGCTTTAATACAAGCACCTCTAATACATGGCATCTGCGAGATCTTCACGCAAGGACCTCTCAGCTTGGATCTCACCAGGATCTCCACAAGATCTTCTGTTCACGACCTGTACAGGACATGCAAGGACCTCTTAGAGGGGACTTCACCAGGATCTCCACAAGATCATCTCATAAGGACCTGCGCAAGATCATGCAAGGACCTCTTAGAGGGCGTCAGCAAGATCTTCACAAGATCTTCTCATGAGGACCTGTAGAAGATCATGCATTGCCCTCTTACAGGATGAGTTTTTCAACACTGCTCACTTGATACAAAGTAGACGGCGGCACCGACGTCACTCCAAGAGGAATATGCCAGCAGGTAAAATTATCAAAATAAATGTCAATACATACTTCATTTTATACGGAGATCTATGTCAATACAGGTTTGAGCAGCCGCATGTGTGTGTATACAGCTATTTACATCTTCGCAATCATATATACGAGCGCGAGAATGTCAGAATCGGCAACGACGCACCAGTCGATCAATTCCTCGTTCTACTTGCCAATTCATACATTATTCTGTCTGAAGTCAATATGCCAGTTCATATTTCAAGAAACGCTCAGACTAACGGTGCTGCATGCGTCCATACATGTACCATCTTTTCTACTGGTGAGGATACCTTGCTTCTGTTCTTGGTCGCCGAACATCGCCTAACATTTCAAAGTTCTCAATTTCTTTGGCACTTGGCGCTAAGGCCAGTGGATGCGAACGTCCCATGATTTGTTGCAGCGCCTCTTCTTTCCCAACGAAACCAGGGCAAACTCCGTGAGATTCATATCCTCCAAAAACCATCGAATCTCATCCAACCACACCACCAGCACACTCTCGGAAGTCATTGTTGCTTCGCCTGCCACAAGCTTGAAGCTTCAGAGCCAAACATGCCAAATTGGTTCTGCGAAAGTGCCGCATCAGTAACAAAAAGAAAAACACCAAACTTCAAAACCTCTGCGATGCCATTGGATAAAACATCCACATCAGACAAGCAAGATTTCCACCAATGACATGTGACATCAATATATGAGTGCAGTTGGCATCTGTAGTTTCCTAGTTGGCACGTTGTCTACCTTGTTTCCCACTAGCCCCGCTCGTGGCTGCATCCTTCTTTTCCTGCCACACACATACAACCTACACATCAAAGACTAGACCCAAGCACTTGGTGGCAAAGAACTCCTACGCAATGCCTTAGGAGGCATAAGCAAACGCGCCCAACAGCTGCGCAGGCAAAACGTCTTCGCAGCAAGGGCTAGGCTGTTGTTGGTGGCAAGTTTGATGAAGTTTGTGTTCTGCGCCTTTTGCGCGCAAACGGCTGGCTATGTCACCAAAAGCACATGACAAGAGAAACACTAAAGAATGCCTCACTCTCAAAAAAGGCAGCCAAACGCTGCGGCAACAACTGCCGAGAGCTGGCTGGAACAGACTCGGATTCAGCATGTGGAGGAGCACAATCGCCAATTTTCTTATCTCAGCGCCTCTTTAGAGCTCGAGCAACGTGGACATTGGCCACACCTGGTGCTGGCAGCGGTGGCTTGGCCACATGTGAGCAGGGCTGTCTGCACAAGACTGTGCAACTGTACATTACTTGGGGGTGCAGTTGGGGTCATGAATGGGTGCAACCACTAACCACCAGAAGTTGGAATATAAGCCCCCTACAACTTTGGTAATATGCAATATTCACTTGCAGCTGGAGCTGGGACTGCACCCCCGACTGGGTTATATGCTTAACCCTTGCCTGTACAAGACTACGGCACGCGCTAGCTACTCTCCGCTTGTTCTTCAAGCAGGCCTGCAGTTCTATTCCATCAACACCTCACCGTCCATCAGCCTGACGGGGAACGCGTTCTGCCACGCATCTTTTGCTAGCTGCATCATTGCAAGGCTTGTCAGTCCAAGATGTACAGTATCTAAGATTATTGTCATGCTATGCTCAACTTTTCTGGTATTGGCAGCCACACGGCGTTCGAGTCATCCCTTAGACCGCTCAACGTTCCACTGCCATCATGCCTTACGCCGGGACAGCATTTGCCCATTGCAACGCTTCCCCAGAAACCTTGCGTGGCGTTGGCAGTGGGACCCGCACAAGATGATCCACTGGTGGCATGCGCTTTACATGGCCACTCTTCAAGGATTGCAATGGGCGTCGCGAAAGCCAAAAGACGTATGTGGTAGTAGCTGGATGGTTTCCAATGTATGGATGGCTCATACGCGTCATACGCTTGAAACCCTGATCTGAGACACCCTGATACAATGAAAAGTGTCTTGTAGCTGCATACGAGATATTCCTTCACGACGATCGTCAAAGGCCGTCGTCCAATAGTAGGAAAAAATTGGCTTAGAACCCTGGTCTTAATTAAGGACGGGATCAATAGTCAATGCAGCTTCGCCTTCGCAGCTGTGAACATCCTTGCACCATGTGGGTGCGTCGGCCTGAGCAGCTGGCTTTGTCCCACAACCGCTCTAATAAGTACTCCCATCCAATTTTCCATCCAAGATCATCAACACGGACAAGAAACAAAAACAATTCAAGCGGCGCCCAGTCTTTAACTGTATTCACCCATGCATCTTCCAATGAATGTTGGCAAAGCCTAACAGATTCCATTCAGATCATTTGCCCCATGCCCTTGTGCCCTTGTCTGTAAAAAAAATACAGATGCGGTGAATTTGGGCTCAGTTTTCAGGGCTGGTGATCGCTTTCTATACGGGGGGATCCTCCAAGTGAATGGCCGTCAATAGCGGCTGTCAAGATTCGGCAAAACAAATGTTGGACAGCGAAGCCCTGCAACAGCAAGTGATGGACAGTGAAAATTTCAGCGGGCCAAAACACAAGCTATCTGTGCAGGATGCTACTGGAACCTGCCAAGAATGTGCTTTGGAATTCCCTTGGCTGAAACCACAGAAAACCGACAGGCGGTCCTACAATCTGTTGCCTCCAACTCCGGCCATTGACCACATCGTGGGCGCAGCTACGCCTTTCGCCCTTCATAGAAGGAAGTGCAAGACTATCTGCCACAGGCCGTGCTTCCGCGGGCCGTTGACAAAGATAAGGTCCGCCTTAGAGGCCACCGGTCTAATAGATGATGTGTTTAGGAGTTTTTGGAAAAGACTAACTTGCATCAGGGTTGTTCGTGCCAATCTCGATTCAAATCCTAAGTAGTGCTTGACATGCAATAAACCCTAACCCTAACTATGCAACCTGGTAAGCCTGATGATAAAACCCTTTTAGCTCTAGGTTTCTCAACCACATGGAATTTGGGCTATTGCTCCAATGAACCCTGCCAGCTAAGGTATAAGCCACCAAAAAGGATGGCCGGCACAAGACACATCACGCGTGCAAGACAACGTCCAATCGCCGCACGCGTGACATCTGCGCCCCGATAGATAAATAATTGCTCTTAGGATCACAGGAGACTTCAACATCTGGTACCTGCGACCTGCCCGGCCTGCTGTTCTCTGCCACAACATCTCATCGTCCATCTGAAGCCATCTGGCAGCGCATGGCCTGGTGCCCTTTTGCTGCATCTCCTGTCAGCACACAGCTGCACTAAGTGTTTGGAAATAACTACCTTGAACTGTGATAGGCGGCAAGCTATCCCTCTTACTTGAAAAAAAACACCGGCAAGAGGCCCCAAACAGTGTGGGGGTAGGAAGTCAATGTACCAGATACAAGTAACAGTAGCAGTGGAACAGTAACAGATCAGGTTAGGCATGATCGTAACTACAGCAGCAGGAATTTGTTTTGGCACAAGGAGCAACGCTATGTCTACTCATCAGGACCTGCTACCAGAACCTCATACCAGGACATCTAAGAGAATTTCAAAAGATCGTCAAAGAAGGATCTTCTATATAGAGGATCTTAGAAGATCTTCATACAAGAACTTCCTACGAGCATTCCAGAAGAACTTTCATACAAGCACCACTGCAGATGATCTTCTCACAAGGACCGGTACGAGATCATGCAAGGAGGCCTAGAAGATTTCACTTCACCAGGACTTTTTCGAAGTTTTTTAAAGGATATGTAGGATCTGCACAAGATCTTCTCACAAGGACCTGTGCAATATCACGCATTGGAGGGAACTGTTAGAGGATTTCGCCAGGATCTCTACAAGATCTTCTGGCAAGCAATTTTACAAGACCCTGAGCAAGATCTTCATGCCAGGACACCTACAAAATATCAGACAAAATCGTCGGCTGCTGGAGAAGATCTTACAAATCTTGATACAAGAACCTCCCGACAGCCTCCACAAGAGCTTTAATACAAGCACCTCTAATACATGGCATCTGCGAGATCTTCACGCAAGGACCTCTCAGCTTGGATCTCACCAGGATCTCCACAAGATCTTCTGTTCACGACCTGTACAGGACATGCAAGGACCTCTTAGAGGGGACTTCACCAGGATCTCCACAAGATCATCTCATAAGGACCTGCGCAAGATCATGCAAGGACCTCTTAGAGGGCGTCAGCAAGATCTTCACAAGATCTTCTCATGAGGACCTGTAGAAGATCATGCATTGCCCTCTTACAGGATGAGTTTTTCAACACTGCTCACTTGATACAAAGTAGACGGCGGCACCGACGTCACTCCAAGAGGAATATGCCAGCAGGTAAAATTATCAAAATAAATGTCAATACATACTTCATTTTATACGGAGATCTATGTCAATACAGGTTTGAGCAGCCGCATGTGTGTGTATACAGCTATTTACATCTTCGCAATCATATATACGAGCGCGAGAATGTCAGAATCGGCAACGACGCACCAGTCGATCAATTCCTCGTTCTACTTGCCAATTCATACATTATTCTGTCTGAAGTCAATATGCCAGTTCATATTTCAAGAAACGCTCAGACTAACGGTGCTGCATGCGTCCATACATGTACCATCTTTTCTACTGGTGAGGATACCTTGCTTCTGTTCTTGGTCGCCGAACATCGCCTAACATTTCAAAGTTCTCAATTTCTTTGGCACTTGGCGCTAAGGCCAGTGGATGCGAACGTCCCATGATTTGTTGCAGCGCCTCTTCTTTCCCAACGAAACCAGGGCAAACTCCGTGAGATTCATATCCTCCAAAAACCATCGAATCTCATCCAACCACACCACCAGCACACTCTCGGAAGTCATTGTTGCTTCGCCTGCCACAAGCTTGAAGCTTCAGAGCCAAACATGCCAAATTGGTTCTGCGAAAGTGCCGCATCAGTAACAAAAAGAAAAACACCAAACTTCAAAACCTCTGCGATGCCATTGGATAAAACATCCACATCAGACAAGCAAGATTTCCACCAATGACATGTGACATCAATATATGAGTGCAGTTGGCATCTGTAGTTTCCTAGTTGGCACGTTGTCTACCTTGTTTCCCACTAGCCCCGCTCGTGGCTGCATCCTTCTTTTCCTGCCACACACATACAACCTACACATCAAAGACTAGACCCAAGCACTTGGTGGCAAAGAACTCCTACGCAATGCCTTAGGAGGCATAAGCAAACGCGCCCAACAGCTGCGCAGGCAAAAATTCTTCGCAGCAAGCGATGGCTGTTGTTGATGGCAAGTTTGCTGGAGTTTGCGTTCTGCGCCTTTTGCATACACAAACGGCTCGCTGACGTCACCAGAAGCGCATGGCAAAAGAAACACTAAAAAAGTGCCTTGCTCCGAAAAATACAGCCAAACGCTGCGGCAACAACTGCCAAGAACTGGTTGAAAACTGAATCGGATTCAGCATGTGGAGGAACACAGTCGTCAATTTTCTTATTTGGCAGCGGTGGCTTGGCCACATGTGGGCAGGGCTGTCTGCACAAGACTGTGCAACTGTACACTACTTGGGGGTGCAGTTGGGGTCATGAATGGGTGCAACCACTAACCACCAGAAGTTGGAATATAAGCCCCCTACAACTTTGGTAATATGCAATATTCACTTGCAGCTGGAGCTGGGACTGCACCCCCGACTGGGTTATATGCTTAACCCTTGCCTGTACAAGACTACGGCACGCGCTAGCTACTCTCCGCTTGTTCTTCAAGCTTCTGTGGTGCTGCTTCTGCTGCTGAAAGGCCCCTGCTGTCAGGCAAAGGGCGTCCACAGCCATACACACGTGTGGGGCCATGGCTCACACAGTGGGCACCGCAAGGGCCGAGCCATTCTGGCGGCACTGCGCAAGACTGTACAGCACGCACTAGCTACTCTCTGCTTGTTCTTCAAGCAGGGCCTGTAATTCTACTCCACCAACACCTCACCGTTCATCTGCCTGGCAGCAAGGTCGGTAAAATGAAACCTTTGCATGTTAGGCGATATTGGGATGGTGATCTACTCAAGGTGTCAACTACCCCCACGCGATCATGACCAAAAGTCTATCCGCACTTGTGCAATTCTAAAATGCTCGTCTTTGGGGGAATACCAGTTGGGATTCCTCGGATGCACAGACTCAGACTCGGGGAGCTCTGTCACTTGGGAAAACAGCTTCAATCTTCTCCGAACTGATATTGCTAAAACTAGACGACGGATGGCCCGAGAGCGTAGAGGAGCAGGGTCTTCTCTTGTTAGTATGGAGACACCATATTACAAAACAATATATTAAAGATGTGTTATAGGCAGTCGAGAAGAGGAGTATCAAGACAATATAGCACAAGTACAAGACAACAGTTTGCATTGCAAACACTTTTACACACAGAAGCTTTTACACAGAGCAAGCTTTTACACAGAGAACCCCTTACTCAGAGAAGCTTTTACACACAGACGCTTTTACACACAGAAGCTTTTACACACAGACGCTTTTACACACAAGGCACTTTTACACACAGACACTTTTACACACAGGCGCTTTTACATACAGACAGTTTTACACACAGACGCTTTTACACACGGTTGCTTTTTACACAGACGCTTTTACACACAAAGCTTTTACCCACAGAAACTTTTTACAGACAGAAGCTTTTACACACAGACACTTTTACACAGACGCTTTTACACACAGACACTTTTACACACAGACGCTTTTACACACAGAAGCTTTTACACCCAGACCCTTTTACACACAGGAGCTTTTACACACAGAAGCGTTTACACGCAGACGCTTTTAGACACAGAAGCTTTTACATACAGAAGCTTTTACACATAGACGCTTTTACACACAGACACTTTTACACACAAACACTTTTACACACAAACACTTTTACACACAGACGCTTTTACACACAGAAGCTTTTACACGCAGACGCTTTTACACACAGACGCTTTTACACACAGACGCTTTTACACACAAACACTTTTACACAGAAACACTTTTACACACAAAGCTTTTACACACGGACGGTTTTACACACAAGCGCTTTTACACACAATCACTTTTACACACAGACGCTTTTACACACAGAAGCTTTTACACAGAGACGCTTTTACACACAGACGCTTTTACACACATAGACGCGTTTACACACAGACGCTTTTACACACAGGAAATCGCAATTTGCTTCAGTTTTGGGCGATTGAACCTCATCTCATGCGAAAAGGTTGCGCGGGAGAAGTTGAAATCGCAATTTTTCCTCAGTTTTTGGCGATCGAACCTCATTTCGTGCGAAAAGGTTGCGCCGGACAAGTTGAAATCTCAGTTTTTGGCGATCGAACATCATTTCGATGCGAAAGAGTTGCGCCGGACAACTTGAAATCGCAATTTTACCTCAGTTTTTGACGATCGAACCTCATTTCGTGCGAAAGGGTTCGCGGGACAAGTGAAATCGCAATTTTACATCAGTTTTTGGCGTTCGAACCTCATTTCGTGCGAAAGGGTTGCGCCGGACAAGTTGAAATCGCAATTTTACGTTAGTTTTTGGCGACCGAACATCATTTCGTGCGAAAGGGTTGCGCGGGACAAGTTGAAATCGCAATTTTACATCAGTTTTTGGCGATCGAACCTCATTTCGTGCGAAAGGGTTGCGCGGGACGACTTGGACATCGCAATTTTATTTCAATTTTTGACGATCGAACCTCATTTCGTGCGAAAGGGTTGCGCGGGGACAAGTTGAAATCGCAATTTTGCATCAGTTTTTGGCGATCGAACATCATTTCGTGCGAAAGGGTTGCGCGGGACAAGTTGAAATCGCAATTTTACGTTAGTTTTTGGCGATCGAACCTCATTTCGTGCGAAAGGGTTGCGTTTCGTGTCGTCTCGTTGGCACTGCCCCTGCCCCCGCCTTCAGAAGAGAAATAGAAAAGAAGGAGAGGGGAAGAGGAGAAGATGTGAAGATGTGAAGATGTGAGGGCAAGAGGGCAAGAAGGCAAGAGGAGAAGATGTGAAGATGAGCAGATGTGAAGATGAGCAGATGTGAAGATGAGCAGGTGTGAAGATGAGCAGATGTGAAGATGAGCAGATGTGAAGATGAGCAGATGTGAAGAGAAGATGTGAAGATGAGCAGGTGTGAAGATGATGAGAAGATGTGAAGATGAGAAGATGTGAAGATGAGAAGATGTGAAGATGTGAGGATGTGAATGTGTGAAGATGATGAGGAAATGCGAAGATGAGAAGATGTGAAGATGAGAAGATGTGAAGATGTGAGGATGTGAACATGAGAAGATGTGAAGATGAGAAGATGAGAGACAGACCCCCACTATTGGAAGAACCCTGCGCTCAGACGCTCTCGGGAAAAACAATGTCAGGGGAACCAAGATAGTCCTAACCGCGGGCAATAAACGAAAACAAGTCAAGCCCCAAATCTTGAATCATGCTTTCTGGTCAATCCCACTGTCTTCCCTTTTATGTGTCTTCCAATGCACGTTGGCAAAGCCCAATACATTCTATTTAAACTGTGCCCCTTACCCTTGTCTGTAGAATCACTTCAACCAACTATAGATGTGGCTAATCTGGGCTCAATCTTCAAGACCGGCGATCACCTGAGTGGAGATGTATTCTCAATACTTTCAATATGTCTTTCCAAGGGTTTCACCCAAATCCGGCCATTACTATAGCCACAGAAAACCGACAGGCGGTCCTACAATCTGTTGCCTCCAACTCCGGCCGTTGACCACATCGTGGCCGCAGCTACGCCCTTCGCCCTTCATAGAACAAAGTGGAAGCCTTGACCAATGTCTGCCTCGGAGGTCAATGGTCGGATAATTTTTTGCATCCGTTCCAAAACAACCGGCTAGGTGATGTGTTTGGAAGCTTTTTCTGGCTGTAGAAGGAAAAAGGCTAACTTACATCAGGGTTGTTCGTGCCCAGCTTGATTCGAATCCAAAGTAGTGCTTGACATGCAACAAACCCTAACTATGCAACCTGGTAAGCCTGATGGTAAAACCCTTTGAGCCCTAGGAATGACTCTCAACTTCATGGAATTTGGGTTCTTGCTCCACTGAGACCTGCCCGTTAAGAAGCCAGCAAAATGGAAGACCGGGACAAGACGCATCATGCACACCAGAAAAAAGAAATGCATCAACTTTCAATCACCATGTGTGTGGACATCCGGATAGATACATATAATTTATCTTAGGTTCACAAGACCCTTCACATCTGTTTTTTCGCTTTAATCATGGACATGCCGGGCCTGCAGTTCTATGCCACAACATCTCACCGTCCATCTGAGTCCATCTGGCAGCCCACGCTTGCATCTCCTCACGCAGACAAAAATCTTTGGAAATAACTACCTTGAACTGTGATAGGTGGCAAGCTATCCCTCTTTCTCTTGAAAAAATAATCGGGTGCCAAAACCAAAACATCAAGGCATGGCAAAAGGGGCACAAAGACATCAGAAATGGCAAGGCCCTGCAACACTCTAAAAGTGCCCAAGTTGAGAGAAGTCGGGCACTCCTGCAAGCTTCCCAAGAGACCAGGCACCTTGGCCGCAAACGCCCAGCCACTGCGGCAGCGCGCTGGCCTGCCCACTCCAACATCCCCGGTACATCCCCGGTACACGTAGCAACTATGGTGGACACACACTTTTGAGTCAAGTATTGCTCAAAACGAGGAGGCCTGCTTGTTGTTGACAAAATCATCATCCAGTTCCGGTTGATTAAGCTGGGTCGGCTCCCAGAAAGTGAAAATCTGCTACTCAAATCATACCTGCGCAATTAAACGGCCTGGGGGCTATGCAACTGCGGTTGACACCACACAACGCAACAATAGAATGATCGAAGGATGTTTAGAACTCAAACTTTCGACATGTTGATATGGACAGATGAAAAGCAGAGGTGGGAAGAGTCAGAGAAGAGAAAAGGCAGAAGAAAGAAGATCAGAGAACAGAAAGAGTCAAAGAAAGAAGATGCAGGTGCAGGAAAAGGTAGAATAGCCGCAAAACACTGTGTTTTTCCAATTATGTGGGGCTCCAGAGGGTTGAAAAGGAGGCTCGCTAAAGCGGCGGGTGCGGAGCCATCTGGGGAGATGAGAAATGAAAAATTGCACCCCGTTGTGGCGCGAAGCGCCTTCCGAAATCAAAATGCACAAAACACCTCAACACCGGAGCACTTTTGGAAGTTGAGATGTTGAAAAAGCGCACGCCGTTGTGGCGCGAAGCACATTTGGATGTTGAAAAAGCGCACCTCGTTGTGGTGCGAAGCACATTTCGAAGTCAAAATGGTAAAAACAACCCATGTTCGGACCATTTTTGGACGTTCAACCACACCGCACTACTTATAACAACGACAGCGACAACCACAAGGACAACGACAACACAACAACAACACCAACAACACCAACAACAACAACAACAACAACAACACCAACAACACCAACAACACCAACAACAACAACAACAACAACAACAACAACAACAACAACAACAACAACAACAACCACGACAACGACAACGACAACGACAACGACAACGACAACGACAACGACAACAACGACAACAACAACAACAGCAACAACAGCAACAACAGCAACAGCAACAACAACAACAACAAGAAGTAGTGGAATTGAAACGATAGGAGTTGCTGGTTCAGCCAACAAAAATTGTGTTTGGCCAACAAAACTTGGAATTAAGCACCAAAGATTTGGAGAATCCATCCAAAATTGGTTTCCATCCGTAGACATACTACTACTACTACTACTACTACTACTACTACTACTACTACTACTACTAGTACTGCTACTACTGCTACTACTGCTACTACTACTACTACTAGTACTGCTACTCCTACTACTACTACTACTACTGCTACTACTGCTGTTACTGCTGCTACTGCTACTGCTACTGCTACTGCTACTGCTGCTGCTGCTACTACTGCTACTACTGCTACTACTGCTACTACTGCTACTACTGCTACTACTGCTACTACTGCTACTACTGCTACTACTGCTACTACTGCTACTACTGCTACTACTGCTACTGCCACTACTGCCACTACTGCCACTACTCCTACTACTATTACTACTACTACTACTACGACGACAACGACTACTACTACATCTACTACAACTAGTACAACTACTACAACTCGTACAACTACTACGACTACAACAACTACAGCTACAACAGCTACAACAGCAATAACTACTACAACTACAACTACAACGACAGCTGCAACTACAACAGCAACCCCACTCACTACACTACACTACACTACACTACACTACACTACACTCCACTCACTTCACCACACAACACTACCACTATCACTACCGCTAGACTACACTACAACTAACTACAGGAACAACTACAACAACAACTACTACAGCTACAACTACAACTACAATAACATCATCCAGAGCTACAGCTACAACTAGAACTACAGCTACACTTCACTACACTACACTACAAGTACAACTACAACTTCATTGCATTACACCCCACTTGACCACACAAAAAAATACAACTACAGCTACAACTACTACAGCCGCTACAATTATAACTACAACATTGCAACAACAACAACAACAACAGCTAAAACAACTACAACTACTACTGCGGCTTCAACCACAACATTACAACTACAACCACGACAACAGCAACTACAACTACACTACAGTACAACTACAACTGCGACTGCAACTACAATTACATTGCACTACGCTACATCACACTACGTCCAGCAGTTGTGGTTGAGGTGACCACTGCAACCTTTTCAAAAAATTCAACTCCAACCACCTTTCGGTCCATTAGTGGGTTCGCTCTGCCGCCCATGCATCACAGCAACTCACCTCTCTGTGGCGTCCTATCTTTGAAACTTCCGCCACCGCCTTCTGAAGTACTACTGGTATGCGTTTACTAAATTTATTTTCTGGGCACAATTCCTGCTAACAGTTGAAGGTACAGCTTCCTGGCTACATTGGCCCACATATGCGCTTCTTGGTCTGCGAAAGGCACTGAAAATCAAAACATTCAAATCTTCAAGCAATCACCATGCCCCATCATGCCCTACAACAGCGCCAGTGTGTGCCCGCCTGCTTGGGCACAAGGTGTTCGCGTTGTGGCTGCTGCCGCTGTCACCGTGGCAAATGGAAGAGACATTCTTCAATGACTCTTCTGCATAAGACTGTACAAGACTGTACAACGAAGGCTGTACAGCACGCGCTAGCTACTCTCCGCTTGCTGTTCAGGGCCTGCAGTTCTAGTCCACCAACACTCACCTCAGACTTGATCTGTTTCCAAGCCGCTCAATGCCACAGCAACCGTTCTTGCCCGCCACCTGCCAAATCCCCCGCTCCTCAAAGCTTCACAGCCCAGGCGCCTTGGCCGCGAACATCCAGAGCCACAGCAGCAATGCGCTGGCCTGAATCAAGAAGGAACTGTGGTGGACACACCCTTTTCTTTTGAGTCAAGTATTGCTCAAGCAAGGAGGCCTGCTTGTTGTTGGCAAAATCATCATCCAGTTGCGGTTGATTAAGTTGGGTCGGCTCCCAGGAAGTGAAAATCTGCTACTCAAATCATACCCGCACATTTAACGGCCTGGGGGCTATTCAACTGCGGTTGACACTACACAACGCAACAATAGAATGATGTTTGTTTAATAAAAAGATTTTCTTGGCACAATTCCTGCTAACAGTTGAAGGTACAGCTTCCTGGCTACATTGGCCCACATATGCACTTCTTGGTCTGCGAAAGGCACTGAAAATCAAAACATTCAAATCTTCAAGCAATCACCATGCCCCATCATGCCCTACAACAGCGCCAGTGTGTGCCCGCCTGCTTGGGCACAAGGTCTTCGCGTTGTGGCTGCTGCCGCTGTCAGCGCGGCAAATGGAAGAGACATTCTTCAATGACTCTTCTGCATAAGACTGTACAAGACTGTACAACGAAGGCTGTACAGCACGCGCTAGCTACTCTCCGCTTGCTGTTCAGGGCCTGCAGCTCTAGTCCACCAACACTCACCTCACTTGATCTGTTTCCAAGCCGCTCAATGCCACAGCAGCCGTTCTTGCCCGCCACCTGCCGAAACTGTGAGCATATGTTTGGTTCTCTCCGGCTGTTAATCTGCTCGTCAAAGCTTCACAGCTGGCCTCAATCAAGAAGGAACTGTGGTGGACACACCCTTTTCTTTTGAGTCAAGTATTGCTCAAAGCGAGGAGGCCTGCTTGTTGTTGGCCAAATCATCATCCAGTTGTGGTTCATTATGTTGGGTCGGCTCCCAGAAAGTGAAAATCTGCTACTCAAATCATACCCGCACAATTAACGGCCTGAGGGCTATTCAACTGCGGTTGACACTACACAACGCAACAATAGAATGAGGTTGTTTAATAAAAAGATTTTCTTGGCACAATTCCTGCTAACAGTTGAAGGTAGAGCTTCCTGGCTACATTGGCCCACATATGCACTTCTTGGTCTGCGAAAGGCACTGAAAATCAAAACATTCAAATCTTCAAGCAATCACCATGCCCCATCATGCCCCACAACAGCGCCAGTGTGTGCCCGCCTGCTTGGGCACAAGGTGTTCGCGTTGTGGCTGCTGCCGCTGTCACCGCGGCAAATGAAAGAGGCATTCTTCAATGACTCTTCTGCGTAAGACTGTACAAGACTGTACAACGAAAGCGGTACAGCACGCGCTAGCTACTCTCCGCTTGCTGTTCAGGGCCTGCAGCTCTAGTCCACCAACACTCACCTCGCTTGATCTGTTTCCAAGCCGCTCAATGCCACAGCAGCAATGCGCTGGCTTGGCCGCTGGCCACGCAGCAGCCATCCTGGCTCACAAGCAAGGCAAACCAGTCCAACATGATGGTGAGGTGATGCAACTAGCAAACACCGTGTCCGTACCACAGCTGCTGCCTGCCATACGGTTGCTGCTGCCGCCAGCCGGAGCGCCCAGCGCACCAGCTGTGAAGCCCAAGTTGCTGCTTTTGGATCTGCAGCGATCACCTGATGCTGCGCTGAGCTCAAGAATCAAAAACGAAATCCGCAATGATAGTCAAAGGAATGCTGTTGGAAATGCGCTTTCGACTGCTACGATTTCACCAGCCTTCGAAAAGTTTCCCACACTTTCTGAAACAAACCCAAGAGACCGCGCATCTTGGCCGCCAGCACTTGGAGCCACTCCGGCAGGGCTGTCGGGCCTCCCAACTTTGCATGGAATTGCTAAAATCAGCGACACCAGCAGCCAGTTCCAATTCGTGGCATATACACAAAACGTACAAAATACAACACTACAACTTAGCACCTCCATTTGATAGGCGATCTACCTTTCTAGACACCTTGGCCCAAGTCATGGCCTCTTCTCGTGCCAATGGCAAACAAGGACAGAGCCCATAAGTTTTGAATCCTCCAGAATGCATCGCATCACATCCAACCATGCCACGGTCGTAGGCACACCTGAAAAGGCGGTTGGGGAAGTTGGAATCTTGAGAGTGTTGGCCGGTTGATCATGTTTCGGAATCGAACGCAAAACATAATTTACAAAACCCAGCGAAGTATGAGCGGGAATGCCCTCCCAAAACAAACCCCAACAGTCAAACTTTCACGAGTTACCAACAAATATGCATACTCCCCACCAAGAGGCTTTCTTCTGTCCCACGACTATCCATGCGTTGAATGGCATTGGCTACTCATTTTTTGGGTGCGTAAACTATGCCCTTTTTGAGCTCCCGATTGAGAAGGAATAATGTGGTAACCCCCACAATAAACAAATTTACCCAATGTTGCTGTATCACTAGCTTCCTATCTACCTGTTTATATATATATATATTCATTTATTTATTTACACGGTAAAATAAACAAAACAATAAACAGGTATATAATATAAATATCGAAAAGAAAGAATGAATGAATGACCGAATGACTGAATGACTGAATGACTGAATGACTGAATGACTGGATGAATGAATGAATGAATGAATGAATGAAGGAACGAACGAACGAACGAAGGAAGGAAGGAACGAACGAACGAACGAATGAATCAATTAATGAATGCATATACAACACATGTATTAGTATACATATTTATATATATAACATCACAATTTTCTACTTTTACAGTATGTCATCCCATGCTTCCGGGGCACCTCCAAAATCTTACCTCCCAGCCCGCCCATGGCAGCGCGACGCTGCAGCCCGTGCCATCCCGCGCCCACCCGGAGCTTATGGCATCGGTGGATGGGCCAGTTGTTGCGGCGATATGTAGGGAACATTTACAACCAAGAAATGGGATATAGATGGGATATATGGGGATAGAGATATGGGATATCTGGTTGTAAGGATATAGATGGAAAGGATTCTTTACAACTGCTTTATCCAACTGTTATCCCAACTTTGCGATTCAAACTCTACATGAAAATTAGAATTGAAAAAGTGCTGGGGAAATGTCGGTATGACATTGGATCTATTAATTTTGACAGAGTGGCGGCTCCGAAGTTCAATCTGGCATCCCCATATGAACCGCTGTGCAGAGTTTCAACCCTCTAGTCGAGGATGAAGCATCCAGAATCGACTTCATGCAAGTTACACCATAGTTACACCCCTAAATTCACATATTTCACATGGATGTTACATACTTCACCAAAGCTTTCACATGGATGGAACATCCAGAGTCTCACACATTTCACTCATCAAAAAACTCGGAACATCTCTTCCAGACCTTACTGTCGTTCCCCATTTTAAAGTCGGGATATCTCATCCAGGTGACCCAATGGAAAAATACCTTCTAAAGTTCACGACGGTCCTCGCACATGGCCATCACAGCCCGTTGTGCCTGAGCCACAAAGTTGACCACCAAAACAGGATTGTTGGATGAAAAGCAAAGTATAACATATATATATATAATACAATATAACACAGTATAGTTATACATGTATATATTTATATGATGTGTATATATGCAGGTACTATATATATACATATGATAAATATATATATATATATATGCTTATTTATTTATGTATTTTTTCATTTGTTCATGTATATATATATATCTAAATCTATACACATATGTGTGTATATGTATACATATATTGTAATGTATATTGTGGATCACACGTATAATGTACAAATCAAAACCTGCGACTTTGATGAAGTTCGACTGCGCCAAAATCTACGGTCTCTGCAGTGGTGTCATCCTACCAGCTGGGGGCCGCACCCAAGGGTTGCTCATCCTTGGTCCAAATTGGTGAGTGTCGGAGGTCCCTAAGATCAAAGCGTTGAGTTTTCACCCAACTTTCAAGTAACTTTCTTGGAAGTTCTACACCAGTACTCCACCAATTCCATATCATCAATATTCACCTAAGCATCGTTTTTCTGGAAAAAAACAATGACTGGGTAGATGTTCCAATGATTTCTACATATTTCCAATAGGTCCGATATTAAACTCGAGGTAACACATGATAACACCTATATTTCCATATCATAAACCATGGTTTCTTGAAATCCTATGCTTCCCCGTTCTCCCCAAACCCTCCTTTTCCAGTTGAGGCACTGGAAGTGCGGATCATAGGACCAGCGTTCAGCGTTCGGACCCAACAAGGGGATGGTCTTGGGCGCCTTGGCCAGGCCAGGCCAGGCAAAGTGGGTACGGTGGCCATGGTGAAATAGCTGTAACTAATGATGTTAGCTGTAACCATGAATTTTTAGATGTAAGTAGCTGATGAAATAGATGGCACCCATTTGTCAAATAATCAAAATCGTGTTAGATGTGTTCAAAAAAATAAATAAGCTTTGAGGCTTTGATGGTATCCCCAACAGTCGCAACGTTTTACTTTTACAATTTTTCTCAACCTTCTCCGGACCCCGTTGAACCTGACTTGGCTTTGCACCATGGCTTCCTGGAACCATCTCCGGAACCTTCTCCGGAACCTGCTCCGGAACCCTGTTGAACCTGACCTGGCTCTGCACCAAAGCCTCCCGGATTCTTCTCCGGAACCTTCTCCGAAACCCCGTTGAACCTGACCTGGCTTTGCACCAAAGCCTCCCAGGCCTTCTCCGGAACCTTACTCCGGAACCCTGTTGAACCTGACCCTCCCCGACCTTCTCCGGAAACTTTTCTGGAACCTTCTCCGGAACCCTGTTGAACCTGATGCGGCTCTGCACCAAAGCCTCCCAGACCTTCAACGAACCTTCTCCGGAACCCTGTTGAACCTGACCTGGCTCTGAACCAAAGCCTCCTCGACCTTCTCCGGAACCTTCTCCGGAACCTTCTCCGGAACCTTCTCCGGAACCCTGTTGAACCTCACCTGGCTCAGCACCAAACCCTCCCGTAACCTTCTCTGGAACCTTTTCTGGAACCTTCTCCAGAACCCTGTTGAACCTGACTTGGCTCTGCACCAAAGCCTCCCGGATTCTTCCCCGGAACCTGTTGAACCTGATCCGGAACCTTTTCGGAACCTCGTTGAACTTGACCCGGCGCCCGCACCAGTGCACACCGGAGCTTTTCTGGGCTAAAGACCCCATTAGCTTACGCTGTTGGGGAATACATAGAATCATGTTCGATGCGTTTATAAAAATGTGAAATCTGGCGATAAAATAACTGTGGAAATAATTATCGAAGGAAGTTTAGAAGTCAAACTTCCGACAATATGGACAGATGAAAAGCAGAGGTGGGAAGAGTCAGAGAAGAGAAGAGAAGAGAAGAGAAGAAGAAGAAGAAGAAGGAGAAGAAAGATCAGGGAAGAGAAAGAGTCAGAAGACAGAAGATGCAGGTGCGGGAAAAGGTTTCCAATTATGTGGGGCTCCAGAGGGTGGAAAAGGAGGCTCGCTAAGGCGGCGGGTGCGGAGCCATCTGGGGAGATGAGAGATGAAAAGTTGCACGCCGTTGTGGCGCGAAGCACATTTCCAAGTCAAAATGCACAAAACACACCATGCTCGGACCACTTTTGGAAGTTGAGATGTCAAAAAATTGCACGCCGTTGTGGCGTGAAGCGCATTTCCAAGTCAAAATGTACAAAACACACCAGGTCCGGAGTCCGGACCACTTTTGGCAGTTGAGATGTCGAAAAAGTGCACGCAGTTGTGGCGCGAAGCACATTTCGAAGTCAAAATGCACAAAACACACCATTCTCGGACTACTTTTGGAAGTTGAGATGTCGAACGAGTGCGCGCAGCTGTGGCGCGAAGCACATTTCCAAGTCAAAAGTGGAAAAATCTGAGGGGTAAGGACCACTTTTGGACGTTCAGATATCGTTTTTCGTGGCAGGCTCAGGAGATTGTGCACCTTGTCAAGAGTGAGCAAAACGTGAGAGCTTTGTAGCAGCTTCAACTACAACCACCACTACACTCCACTACACTACAACTACAACTACAACTACAACTACAACTACGACTACACCTGCAACTACACTAATTACATTGCACTACACTACACTCCACCACACTACACTACACTCAATTACACTACACTAGACTACACTACACTACAACTACAGCTACAACTACAACTACAACTACATTACACTACACTAATTACAATTACATTGCACTACACTAATTACACTACATTACACTACGCTACACTAACTACAGCTAGAACTACAGCTACAACTACAACTACATTACACTACATTGGACTACACTACGCTACACTCAATTACATCATTCAATTTCACTACACTACAACTACAACTACATAACACTATATAACACTACACGACACGACACTACACTAATTGCACTACACTACACTCCACTTTCACTCAGGTGCACTACACTAAGTACCTTACGCTACACAACGCTACACTACGCTACACCACACTACACAAGGCCACACCACACCGCACCACACCACACCACACTGCACTACGCTAACGACAACTACTTATGCTACACTACACTAGACTACACTACACTACCCTACACTACTGTACATTACGCTACACCCATTACACCACCACAAATGCAACTGCAACTACACTACACTAATTACACTACACCACAACTAAAACTCCACTAATTACACTATAACTACAACTACGGCTGCACTGCACCACACTACATCCAGCGGTTGTGAGTGAGGTGACCGACCAGGTGACCACTGCAACCATGCCAAAAAACACAACTCCAGCCACCTTTCGGTCCATCTGTGGATTCGCTCTGCCATCCGTGATTCACAACAACCAACCTCTCCTATAGGTTTCCTATTTTTGAAACTTCCGCCACCGCCTTGTGCGATACTACTTGTAATACTGTATACTTAGATGATGTTAGATGTGTTTATAAATCAAGAAAGAAGAATTAGCCGTGGTCAAACGTAAATTCAAAGATAGTTAAAGGGGCACATGTTTTGGTCTGCATTATTTTCATGACCGTATCTGGATTGCTTCCTAGCCTGAGTCCCTGCAGAACTTGAAAGAATCGACCAACTGGTTCCACTCTAGCTGCAGCAGCTAATTTTCTACCTATACTGGTGGAACCACGATTTTCGGATTTGTTTGCATTTAACCATCCTAAGTTTTGGGTAACATGCCCATTTGAGTTTCTGAAAATCGAGCGTGGGATAAACCTCGACGAATCTTTAGGCTGACTCGGTAGGTCCAAACCTGGCATAGCTCATGTTCTCATTCATGGGTCAGTTCACCCTGGTTTCCCAAACATATTGCGACCGAATGATCAGCTTGGAATGTGAACACCAACCCGGCTGTATGGGAAGAATCCCGTCCACCGGCTGTATTGAATACGCCCAGACGAAAACCATCGAAAACCCGTTTTTGGAAGATTCGTTATTTGCTTTGCTTCCCTTTTTGGCGTATCCAATATTGCGTATTAGAGCATCCCGTTTATCTGTCTAAATCTTAGATATCATGGCAAAAAGAATAGCTAGCTGGTTTTTCAGTGTTACATCTGATAAAATGGTAAAGCCAATCATGAATCAACCCACTTTTACCAGACATGACACCCCAAAATGATTGGTTTCGTGTTTACCACATGTTGGGGTCATGAATTTGAAATCGACCCCTCCCCCAATTCCACGCCACGCCTGGCCCAACACACCCAGTCATCTAACAAGCGCTTGGTGGCCGGACGCGAATGCCCCACACCACCGTGATGTCAATCTGTTTGTTGGTGGGCACTGTCTGGGCAGCGCAACAAACGTGGCTTGGTCACCATTGTGAGCCCAGCGGGGAAGATTCCCCGAAAGGATGGAACATGGAAATCGTGGGTTCAGAACCCCTGTTCAAGTGCAAATGTATCAGTCAAATGGATAGATGATATAATCAATGATATAGGTTCACCCAATGTGTGCTAGGTATTCAGCAGGCGACCAGAGCGAAAATCCGTGGTTTTCGGTGGGTATCAGGACCCATCAAAAAATCGGGCCTGTGGATTGGCTCAATGGACCAACTCGGGGTATCCAACTGCGTGGAAGTCCCACTTCGGAGCTAATCACAAAGTTAAGTGTATCCCATTAATGCTCCATGGTGCTGGTATATTTACCATTATTTAATTATTTACCTACAAAACTGGGTGATTTTGTTCGGGCAAATGTTGGGATTCATATTCCAGCACCATGGGTTGCATATGGGTATCGGATGACCGACCTGGAGGAACTTACGAGCCAGGTTTTTCGTACCACAACTCATAGGATAGTCCCCAAGAAAAGATCGAAAAGTAGCCTCCTGTAAACCTTTAGATGTGGAAAGTCCATGTGTAGATCATTATCCTAAGGAAATCACGTTTTTTCCACATCTTTTTGTATTACCCTAGGGATTTATAGGGATTCATGATTGCTGCAGTAGGATTTTACCCACTTCAATCTTCATGGAAGGTTGCACCAAATCTGAGGACGCTCACCGGCGAAGAAACCATCTGGAGCTGCCGAGAGGTCGCCTCGTAACTCGCATGTTTGGTGCCCTTGGTGTGTTTGAAGTTCTGGAAAAAACAGCAATTTCAGCGGCAATTGAATAGGAAAAATACGGGAAAATCATGATATATCATTATAATCTATACTGGTTGGTGGTTGTTTCAACCCCTCTGAAAAATTATGACTTCGTCAGTTGGGATGATGACATTCCCAATATATGGAAAGTCATAAAATTCATGTTCCAGTCACCACTAACCAGTATGGGAATTGGGAGTACCTTACCAGCATATAGATTATCATGATATATCATAGGATTAGGAATATATTGCTTCGAAAAATCAGAAGATATTAGGAATATATTGGGAGTACCTTACCAGCATATACCAGTATGTTCAGAAAAAAACCATAGGAATTTTGAGATTCTCAGCCGCCTTGAGCCGCCGCGAGGAGGGAGCGAAGCTACCCAGCCTTGGAGGTTCTCGACGGGACCGGTTCCCACTGTCGTGGCTTGCTGAATCCTCCCATAAATTGGACGATGGTCCTATTAAAGCCTCCATTTATATGGGACAAAACCCTCCATTTTTAGGTGAAAAAGCTCAGGGGGAAAAGATCCATTTATAGTGGAGAAACCTCCATTTATGGGGAAAAAACGTTCGTTTATCAGGGAAAAGCATCCATTTCTAGGGGATAGGGGATTTTACAGCCGTGTTTGATTACCGGAGGGTATTTGAAAGCACCAACCAAGTTCCAAACATCAAGAGTGAAGCTTTGACTTGGACAAATGGAGTTGTTAATGGGGGTGCATCCCTGATAATTAGCGCGGACCCCAACAAGGGCTGGCGGCGTTCTATCCAGTAGTGAAAAGGTATCTTCGGGAATTCAATGAAGGCAAAAATTACAGGAAGTCCCGTTCAGAAAAAACAACATCGTTATATAATTATTTCTGATATACTGTTCCTCAAACCAAACCAGGGAAGATCAAAATTGGACTCTGTATGGGACCAAATTTGGGCCCCAATGAAATCAGAAAATTTGACATCTTTTGGATTTAGCCCTCCATTTGTAGGGCTTAAGAATCTTCAGCTATACCTGAACCGAGTGAATTGAAGGTTTAAACACGTGCCAGGAATAAACTCACCACTGATTTTGGCCCTAGAAGCCTCACCTTTCAACACCCTGCCCATCATCCGAGAAACGCTGTGTAGCCGGTGAAGGTGCAGGCTGGCACATTCCAGCTGCACACCACTTGCACTGAACAAGCCTGGTGGATCTGGCTCAGATTTTGGTGCCCAAAACCGGATGGTTTCCCACTGTCGCCTTAAAATCTGTGGATGAAGGGTCTGTAATGTCAAAACCCTGGTGCCTTCTATAATTAATCTTAATAGTTCAGGTCAAAATAGCTAGTGCTGATGGATGTTAATCAGTCAATAGTCCCATTTAAGGAAAAGCATTGGTTTCTGACCCATCCCCCAGATGGGTCTGTCCACAAAGATGAGACGCTACTCAAATCCTCTGGTTTTGAACCTCAGTTTCACCTTACCAAATGCAATTCTGTCTATGTCCTGCAGTTTCAAATACAGTAATTAAACCCAATGAAAGAAATCCCATTTTGGCCAAAGATCACCATGTTCTTCATGGTGATTTAACCAATTTAACCCCTACCAGTTGCCATTTCAAAAAAATCTCCTTCCCCTCCAAGTCTTCGGCGCCTGGGTCCCGTTCACATGGGCGCTCAGCGTGGTCGCCACGGAGCCCAAGCGAAAGAAGCGGCTCGTCACCACCTGGGTGGTTAACATGGAAAAAACGGGGTGATTTAACCAACAAAAATGGCGATTTTACCATGATTAAAGTGCCGAAAATGGCGATTGAACACGACTTATAAAGGGGATAGAGTGGTATAAACTTGGATAAGGAAATGAACAGTGTCAGTCCTGATTTTTTTGCTGAAATAACCAACAAAAAATGGACTTAACCACTCATTGAATAGAGATTTATAGTTGATTCATGATGGATGAACCTCCCAAACGATTGGTTAATGGGGATTGTCATCATGGCTTTTGAGAACCCCCCAATGAGTTGGGTAGTATAAACCCCCAAAAGCCACCAAGCTACGAGGGTTTTGAAAACCTGTTCAGATATAGTTCTCAAATGGGGACTCAAATGGCTTTGGAAAAATTGGTTTTACATCAGTATACCTCCATTTTGCCCTGGTTGACATGATGAATGGTTAATCAGTATATCGAAATTTCCCATCTTCAAACCTGAATGTAATCGATGATGCAACCCAGGTTTAGGGAGAACGTTGGTTTACTGCCATGTCACAAACAAAAACGGAAGTGAATTATACCAAGCTGTGGCGCCTGTACTGTTCAATATCCCAAAATGACTTGAATCTGTGTTGTTTTTCAATTTGGACCCATGGTCAAAGCCTGGTGCAGACCATCCACCTGTATTATATACGTTATATATAATATATGATATGATATCATATATGCCTGCGTATGGTACATAACTACAGTACATAGTATATTGTCTGCATATCGTAATTTTGTATATGTATCATTTGTATGCATATGTTGTACGCATAGTATATGTGCCTATCCATATATCTTGCATGTTTGTATGTATATAAGTCACAGACATGTATAAGTAACCTCCACCCTCCACTCTCCACAGGTTTCCCCCACAGTACCGGTGCTCCAACTCTCAACCACCTCAATTGGAAGCAGTGCGTTCGTGGATATCGCGATGTTTGATGAAAAATTGGGATGATAGAAGAATCCCCAAAAAGATAGAGAATTAGTTTTCCCCTACTTTAGTAGGCTTTTACTTTTCTATCCTTTTGAGAGTTGGTATAGTCCTGGGAAAGCTCACAATTCTGGTGCACTGCACCATGTTTGCTGGTGGCATATCCTCGTCTTTAATGGGAACGTCATCTCTCCGCATGCTGCTTCTTAAACCCAAAAATTGTCGACGGCGAATCACCGTTTGTCGAATGCTTCACCATGGAACCAATGCTTCAATCCTCACTTTTTTATACTTAAAGACTTAAATCATGTTAAATCCGCATTTTCCTGGTTGAATCACCATTTTTCACAGTGATTCCACCGGCGCAACGCCGCCATCGGTGCCCGGGCTAAGGTCTTGAGCTCGCTGATGGCCACCTAGGTGGGGAATTCCCATCATGTTGTTCATGATTTAATGGTGATGATTTGACCGGATTTTAGTGGGATAAAAAGGGGATTTGACAATGATCTTATGGTGATTTTATTGGATTTAATGACGTATTCATGGGATTTTATAGTGATTTTTAAGAATTCAATAGTGATTTACCCTCTGGTGAAACTCATCTTCCAAGCCCGATCTGCCATGGTCCAACTGTTAATTTACTGGGGGTTCATGGGAGTTTCATGGGATTTTCATCGGATCAATGGAGGTTTAATAGTGGGATATTCATCTTATAAGATCATCATTGGACGAGCGGCTCATCTTGTCCCATTGGACTTGGAAGACGATGATGTTCACATATCTTAAGCAGCTAACTTTTTGCACTTGTTTTTTGATCCAGGAAGGTCTGGAATTGGACACTTTGGATCATATTTATCATCCTGTTGTGTCATATTTATCATCCTGTTGTGTCATATGTATCATCCTGTTAATTGGTATTTTGTTAATCATATGTATCATATGTATCATCCTGTTGTGCACGGACTCGTACAACGGACTCGTTGTTTGTTCACGTTAACCAATTCCCAGGATCGCGCACCGAGTTGTTGCTGTAGAGATAGCGATCACCTGGGATGGTGAAATTTGGTGAAATCTTTGGTGTGACAACGTGAAATCATCTGGGGATCATGAAGGTGTTTTGACCAAAGATACCCTCTGGTAATTTAACATAGCTATTGAAAAATGGTGGTTTAATGGGATTTAATGGGATTTAATGGGATTTAATGGGATTTAATGGGATTTAATGGGGTATACCCTCTGGTAATGACTAACATAGCTATTGAAAATGGCCATAGAAATAGTGAGTTTTCCCATGAAAAATTGTGATTTTCCATAGCTACACGTTAGTTTACCAGAGGGTATCCAAAGATCATTCTGAATTTCTGAATCATGTTTGACATGAAATCTGACAGGAATATCACTGAATAAAAATAATGATTCTTGATGAAGTATGATGAAGTCACATCTTCCCGAACCGCCATTCAAAGCAACACAAAAATTCGCCCTGAGCAAACCCCACTTCCTAGCGCTGCTGCCATGGACTGAAGGGCCTCAGTGAAAACCGAAGCTGCTATCCTCATTGGTTCATGAGTAGAACCTGAAAATCATCGACCACCACTGGTTGTGAGTACTGCTAAAATTGCATCAACAATTCCCTGGTGGTCAACAATTGGTTTACTCAGCTCTAAGTGGGAGATCCCTCTGTTGGATTTCGTCGCTTCCATCACCATTCTTGTTGGTTGAACAAATCATTCTATGAGGTCATGTATAATGGCAATCCAGAATGAAAAAACTCCAGGTTGACTAGAAATCTGGTGTTTAAATTGCTACCCCCTTTTAAAGGGTTCTATCCGCGAAGGTTTCCCCAATGTTGATTGTTGATCATCATTTTCTCGATTTTTGGACGGTGTCATTTGAACCCCTGGATTCAGCAGGAGCAAGAGCAAGGTCAATCGAAAAGCTGGGAGCTCCTAACGGTTTCGGTCGGCGCAGTTTCGGGCCTGGCACTGCCCACTAAAGAGATGATAGAGCAAGAAAGATCACTCCATGGATGAAGGCTATGTCTACCCTTTCCCTAATTGATGGCCATCTTAAGGGGGCAATAAGCCATGATAAAACTCGGACTTTTGGTGGACTGATTTTGAGATATGAAACAACCCCAACAACTCGGCTCCCCGAAACTTGGCGATATGAAGGACCACCGGAGTACCATTGATGGGGAAAAAAAACAGCAAAATCTAGATATGATATTATCATTATTATTATTATCATTATCATTAGTATTATTATTATCATTATCATTCTCATTATTATCATTATCATTATTATCATTATCATTATTATTATTATCATTATTATTATTATCATTATCATTATCATTATCATCATTATTATTATTACTATTATTACAACCAGCGAAAATGGAGACAGAACCCCCAAAAATGTCAGGCCTCAGTTGCTGTTCGGAAAAAACTCGAGCTTCAGGATGTCCACCCAAATCTCACGAACTCTGTGGTTTTCCCTCCCGTTTCGTCGTCGCCTTGAGGGGGATGCCACCCGCGCATTGAAGCTCACAGAAGCGCAGGAAGTGAGGCTCGAAACGCCTCCGTACGGGCCGTAGGGATCCATAGGATGCAGGCCCTGAAATCTCACACTTGCCATCAATTGCAACGCATCCCTGCGGAGCAGAATCTCCAGACCTTTCTTGAGTCATTGCTAAATATTGCTAAATGCTACGGCTGGGAAACCAGAATGATAGTCCAAAAGCCAACATGGATAAGTGATGATAATTCAGTGATGATTACGTGATAAGTGATTATCCCACCAAAAACCAAGCAGCAAGAATCATGAATCGTCGGTGTGGCATCCCAACTCAGCTGGAATTCTCTGAACACGTCAAACCGTGGGAAGCAGCAGGAGAACCTCCAGAAACCCTGAAATCAGCCAGGTTGCATGTGAGGTCATAGACCTAATGCCATAAAAGGACTTTAAAACGGCTGCTATAAAATATCCCCAAATGGTAGTTCTCTTTTTGCATTGGGTTTACCACAAACTTACACAGTGAATCACAGTGACACATAGACTTCCATTGCCACGCCTGCTCCACTAGATGACCTTCGCAAGCGGCGAGATCCAAGTCCCAACCCCATCTGCATCAAACCTCCATTAAGTGACCCTTGGTTCGTAAAGATTGGAAACGGAAGCTGTTTGCCAAGATTCGTTACCGCATGTTACTGCCCTTGAAAGGCCTTAGCAAAGATCACTGTTTGTCACCCACTATGCACTGCTTACCTGGGGGCGCGATTCCACTAGAAATGCATGGGTATATTGTGGGGAACCGCCAATGATGTTTTTTCACCATGGTTCTATTGTTGTATAAGTTATAGTTATGCCCAAAATAGCTAGCCATGGTCATCCCACCGATTATTCCATGAAATCCCACCCTTTGATGGTAAACTCCACAGTGTCTCCATCATTCACATCCATCTGGGTAAATTAGAAGA